TCTATATTCATTTTTTTCTAATTTTATATAGATAAAAGAAGATATGTTATGAGTGCCAATGAGACAACTCTCCATCCAAATCACAATGTTTAAAAGTGAAGCATTATACGTACGGTCTTCAACATGAAAAATTGTAATAGGCCCATGCATTTTTCCCTTATTCTATATGCATTCTTCTCTAACTCTATTTGCATTTTTTCTAATTCTGTATGCAATTTTCTCAAATTCTATACGCGTTCTATAATTATGTATGCCTTTGAAACTGGATCTGACCCATTATATATTTGTTTGTATATTTTACGCCATATCAACTAGGATCATTACTTTCGTTCATTCCCATTCAAAAATCATAACAGTATCGGATTTACCATTTAAACCCGTTGACTTTCGATTATAGTTCAGCATTTGAATTTGAAATCTATTCTTGTCCTTGATTACGAGATATGGCCTTGTTTAAAGTATATATCAATAGGTTTAATCTATAGTACATATAATAAATATGATAGTAAAGCATTATTTAAAACCGCATTTATTGAACATAAATCTTTTAACTGAGACCGTAAATTTTTGTAAACAGTGATCGTTTATTTCGCAATGGGTTGATATTTTATAATGAACAAATGGACAGGGGGTTGTCGTCTTCGTTTTACCAAAACGTTTTGCAGTTTTTTGTTAAAAAAAACGAATTTCATCAAAACAAATTAAATCAAATAACATGATGTTTATTTAAAGTCGGCAAGGTAAAGAATCAATATAGGAAAGCATTTATTATAACTAACATCCTATATACATGTAAAACATTAGTTCGCACTGTGCTTCTAAGTGTAAGACGACGTACGCAGTTAAACAATCAAATGTCCGTTATCGAATGATGTATATTCAGAACTAGGTTGAACTTCCAAAAGTTTAATATTTATAAGTTTGTTAACTAACAATCTCTTAGTAGTGTATTTGTGAATTAAACTATAGATAATTATACAGTGCTTGTATTTTCTTCAATCGATTTGAAGTTATTTTGTTAACACCTATACTAACACATGTCATACACATATGTTTATTATCAACTTTGATATTGGGAAATGTTATGTGACATTTGAAATATAAATCTACATCAAATTAAATTAAAGGTACTGAAAATCCTTATGTTAACTTAATAACTTAATATTCAATAACATTTATAACACCGTCAAAAATATATTTTTGTTAAGACATCATATGACAGGAAAATCGACAAGTGGGGGACCAGATAAAACATTTCATGGGCTGATTAATGAAAACTCAAATGCTATTACAGTTTTAAACAACAGCAATGTAAGAATGACCTATGAACCATGGAAATGATTTCAAGTTAAAATGAACCCTGCCAAAAAGACATGTGTACCATACACCAAATATAGTTGATCTACACACAGTATCATAGATCAGAACTTGACCACGAAAAGTCATCTTTGATCAGTGACTCATGAAATAAGGTCAAGGTAATGTGAACCTGTCTAAAAGACAATTATGAATTGTAGAGACCCTGTGCATCGGATGAAGTTATCCTATCAATCTTAATAAGTTTAAAATTGACCGCTATGCAATTAATAAGCAGTCGCTAAACAATCAAAATGCCTGAGTTATAATATTTAATTATAAAATCATCAATATGTACAACATTTGTCAATGTACTATAATCATTACACATAAACGATACAATTTATTTTTTCTGTATTAACTAAAGTGTCAGCATTGCATGTTCTAGAAGGGCAGGGACTACTTTACTAACTAAGGATTATGAACCCTTTTGTTGCTTCAATACTAAACATATTGAGGTACTCAGAAAATCCTTAGTATTTCCCCTTGTACTGTTATATTTGACAATTCTGTACTTTCATAGAAAGGTGAGTACTGCATGCACAGCTGACAATGATTTCCCGAAAACAATGTCTTAGATAACGGTATTAATTAAGCAAGTACCTATATAGACCTATTCAAGTACATCCTCCAGGGTGCACTCGTTGTAAGTGACAGCAAGTTTTCTTTATTATTATTGCTAAGATTTTTACGGGCTTTTTGTTAACAATTAATTTATGTCTCAAATTTAATAACGACCGTCTCTGTAAGAACGTCTGTGTATTTGTTTTAAAAACGTTTGCTAAATTTGACACAAACTTCATGTTTTCTATTAAATGCGATGACACGATGAACAGTATTTTTGAAAACGACACTCCACTTTATAAAACAAAAATGCATGTCTCTTTAATTCAGTATTTCTAGGGTTTTGTTTTTTGTATTATTTCGCAATTCAAAGGCCATCAGAAGAGGTCGTCAACCTTATTCGTGCCAATGAGGGGTATGACGTTTTTTCCTACACATAACTATTGTAATCCATGATCATTTTCAAGGACAACTCTGCGTCAATATATGTTAAACATTTGGTGTTCAAGATATTTATTTTCAAACTATCATACTAGGAGATTATTCCCCTTCCCTTCTGTGGTGACAGGAATTCTCATTGATATGGTCATATTTATAAATTAACTGTTTACAAAACTTTTGAATTTTTGAAATACTAAGGCTTTTCTACCTCAGGAATAGATTACCTTAGCTGTATTTGACAAAATTTTAGGAATTTTGGTCCTCAATGCCCTTCAACTTCGTACTTTATTTGGCTTTATTAACTTTTTGGATTCGAGCGTCACTGATGTGTCTTTTGTAGACAAAACGCGCGTCTGGCGTCAAAACAAAATGTAATCCTGTTATCTATGATGAGTTTATTTGGTAAAAGGGAATATCTACTTCGATATCCTGTGTTCTAGATAAACACATATCAAAGTCGCGTGTTCAATTTTGGAGGCTGTGCACTATTTAATATATGAAAAAGAAGATGTGGTATGATTGCCAATAAGACAACTCTCCACAAGAGACCAAATGACACAGAAATTAACAACTATAGGTCACCGTACGGCCTTCAACAATGAGCAAAGCCCATACCGCACAGTCGGCTATAAAAGGCCCCGAAATGACAATGTAAAACAATTCAAACAAGAAAACTAACGGCTTAATTTATTTACAAAAAATGAACGAAAAACAAATATGTAGCACATAAACAAACGACAACCACTGAACTACAGGCTCCCTACTTGGGACAGGCACATATATACAGAATGTGTCGGGGTTAAACATGTTAGCGGGATCCCAACCCTCCCCCTAACCTGGGACAGTGGTGTAACAGTACAACATAAGAACGAACTATAAAAATCAGTTGAAAGAGGCTTAACTCATCAGATGGATAAAAATACAAATACTACAAATACAAGTGGACGTGGAATACAGAGAGGGATAGTCGAAAACGAACTGACAAAAGAAACATTAATAAACGACCAAAATCAAACGACAGTCTACAGACATAATATAGAAAAAATAAGACAGCACCACAACCCAAACAAAATCCGAGGGTTTTCTCAGTTACTCCGGAAGTATATGCAAATTCTGCTCTACATGTGGCATCCGTTGTGTTAAAATTCATTTTCTCATGATGTGATAAAAACTATTTTTTATTACGAAACAGTTTTAGCGAAGCAGGAATTCAAGTGTTTACGGATTCAAATACATAATAAGTTATCCGCTTATGGAAATCGTACACCTTTACAAAACGGGTCCTTCCACTTCAACATGACCCATTCCATATGTGTCATATCTGAAAACACATGAACAACTTTGAAGGTGCAAAAAGTGGTTAATCTCGATATCTATCTTTGCACAATTTAATGCGAAATTTAACATATTCGATGCATGACAAGTTAACGGCCGCTTCGTTATTTGCATTTCGGTATTCAGTCGGAAAATGATTTAAATTTTCATAGTTGGAAGTAATAAAAGATAACATCATATATAACATAAGTAGCATAATAGTCATAGGCAAAAAGAGTAAAAAGGGTGTAGGAAATCTTTTTGTGACCCCTTCAAGTTATCGTAAATTATCGTTGTCCCCAATATAAACCCTTTTGTAAATCTCTTATCTCGCTTTATGAAATAAATGAAATAAGATTGTGATCAGTGGAATGAAATCAAATGTGTAGAAAACATGATACCTCAAGAACAATTAACACGGAGACATTGACCAGTAACATTTGAAATTATAGATAGAAACAAATTTGGATTGCATTCCGAAGACCCACATAGTCTCCCTATGTCCATAACACTTTAATTTTGTTTAAGACTAAGTATAAATACAGGTGCCAACAAAAGGATTTACCTAGCAGCATATGCAAATATCAACTATATGCATAATAAATTATTAATATCAAGGAAACAGAAAGTATCTTTCAATATTTATTTCTTTTGATATTTTTCAACTAAAATGATCATCCGTTTGTTGTTTTTAAGGAAAATCTTTGATGTATTTTGTTGATAAAAATCAATATTTCATGAATAAACAATAAATGAACATTTTCGAAAAATATTTTATTTATTTCAGCTTCAAGAAGAGGACAAAAAGCGAGGCATTTTATATTTCCGTCACTGTACATATATTTTTTTATCCCGTAATAAATTGAAAACAACACGTTTAATAATTTCATGCGTCCGAAGCGCTTTTATGGATTTACCTTCACCAGGAACGCTCAAAGCCAAACATTTGAAATCCGATAATTTACACGAGGTTATTGAAACTTTAGTTGTTTAAATCCAAATCACGGTCTCTATTGTTTAAAAAAAAACCGACATAGTTTAAACTCGGACCGCAAACCGGACCCCAAAATGAACTGTTACGCCAAAAGAATTATCCACACTAGCGCTTGCTCAAGAGGTACAAGTACAAATTGAGAAAACATATGAGTGTACCTGTATTAGGCCATCCATTTGACCCCCCCCCCCCCCCCCCCCCCCCCCCCCCCCGATAAGTCCTAAGGCCCATAAGAAACGAGATATAGAAAAAATAAGATATGATATTTTTTTTGTTCAATCATTAATGGAAGTGAAATAATGAAATACAAATTAGCTTTTAACACTATACACTAGATATTAACGCTATGTTCATAAATGCAAAAGTTATTACTTTTACATACAAAAGTTATAAATTTTCTATATCTTCGGAAGCTAGATCAGTTATTGGTCCTTGTGTGTGACTGTCATCCGCCATTGCTTTATTTGTGTTTTCTGTATTGCTATTTGGCACCGGTGCGTCAACTTCTGTTTCTTTAGTGTCATCTGACACGTTTTCCTCCAAATTTTCGTTTTCCTTACTTTCTTTATTTTGTAAAACACTATTTTCCCTAATTTCACTACCTACTTCAGTTGATTTTGCAGACTGCAATTCAAGTGTATCTTTGATATCAACATCAGTTTGATTGTCCTGAACTGAAGAATCAATAATTTTAACTTTATCTGATCTAGAGCTTTTTTTCTTAGATTTTTGTTTTTCTCTCCCTTCTTTCCTTTCCTTCTTTTCTAATTTGTCAGGTGCTGTTTCTTTTTTAAAGTTTACCGTTGCTTCATTTTCTTTCACATTTTCCTCACCTGATGTTACTAGCACATGTATCGTATTCTCGTCCTTTGTTATCATAACTGCATTGTATATAGTTGTAGCTATTATACCAATCTAAAATATTTGATTTCTAAATAAAGATTAATTTATTACAACATATCATTCAAACCTTGATCTGGAATAAGAGATGAGCTAGGATTGTATAATGCAGATTACATGGTTGGTATGATATTTGAATATAGTTCCAGATACGGGTTTTACACCAATGTAAATCTGATAAACTGTATTACGAAAATTTTTACTTTCTAATTGCGAAAATTGCGAAAGAATACCTCGAATTTCAAATTTGGAAACATTTTTGTTTGGAATTCAGCATTTTCTAGAATCGTAATGATAAATCTCCAATCTCTGGCAGTTGCTCACTATTACAACAAAGGAAAAGCTAACGTTCCCCACTAATGCTCCTCGTAATACACACTTATAATATTGAGGAAAAAAACACTTTTGGAGGGACACATAAAGCATGCGATATTATTGCGAGTTCTCACCTGCATATATGTTTAACAATTCGAAATGATATAATCGAGTTATGATAACCTGAAATGGAAGTAAGCAATGATTTTATGTCCTAGAATTTTTGTACTGTTCTATATGGCGTCATATAAATCACAATATTATGCCTTTTAGTTTCTCTAATCTGAGTCCTTTTCGACAAGTCGTGCCTAGTCCCATGAGTCGACGTCAGAACTATAAAACCCCCTCGAGAAAAGATTTCTTTTGTCCCAAAACTTTTATGATCGAGTTCAATCGATACGAGTTAAGGCTATTGAAAGGTTCCTTACAGTTTTTCGCAGAAAAAGATCGCAAAACTAGAGACTCTAAAGAGTCTTTGCCCACCTTGGTCTAGTTGCATCTACAACAATATACACTCCCCAACATTGTAGACTACCATATGATTCATGCCTGAAATCTCTTATTGTTGATTTCGTATTGCTGAACATTTGTATGGTTTAAAGGTTCTCTCTATGTTCTATAGAGTTTGCCCAAACACAAAAAACGTGTAAAATCGTTATTTTCGGGCAATAACACTTAATAAAAGACAACTGACCACTTCAACTATGCTGACCAATTTGCAGATATGATCTTGATGATTTTTTTTTTAAGTTTCTATCTATCAATTATAGTTTCCAAGATAATAGACAAAAAAGCAAAAATGGTAAAAATCTTCCTGAAAGGGCAGTATCTTCAAAAAGGAGTCGGCTGACGATTTCTGACATGTTGACTTATTTATAGATCATGTCTTGCTGATCGGTTATGCTATTTGAAGTTTCTTTCTATTATAACTTTAAGAATAAAGGCAAAACTGACAAAAATGGTCAAATGTATTATGTCTGTTTAGATTGCTCATCCAATTTTGTCAATATAATGAAACTATCAACAACTGTCTTACAAATGGAATGTTTAGCTTGCTATAAAACCAGGTTTAACGCACTAATTTCTTCGTTAAAAAGTTATGAATATGCCAGTTGTATTTCACGTGTTCCGTTGATTGATAGAGTTTGACTTGATTTAGTTTTTATGGACTTTCCTTTTTCTGAATTTGCCTTGGAGTTTGGTATTTTTGTTACACTTTTTTGCCATTTAAGGTGGATGGGGTGTCTTTAAAAAAAATCCATAGAATTTTTAAATAATTTGTGAAAATGTAGTTTTATCATGCTTTTTCAAAAATATAATAAAAAGTATGGGTCACCGGACTTTTTTTTCACGCTACAGGTTGTTCAAAATTGTCAGATTTTGTATTGATTATGCATGGAAAGTCCAATTTTATGTGATAAAAAAAACAAACTACACCATAGACTTTTAAGATAAAATGTGAGAAGATAGTTCTTATAGCATGCTTTCAGATAAGAAAAAGAAAAAAATGGGGTCACCGGACTTGTTTTCTTGCTACATATTAAACAAGGTAAATTCACAACACTTTTTATAATAAAAATAACTTAATTTGAGTTATCTCCCATACAATCTGAGTTATAATCCCCTTATGTGGCAAAGTTGAAAAAAATTAATCAAACAAAAATATTGTGTTTTTTAGAAAATACAGCTGTAAATATTACAAAACACATAATTTTCTACATTAACATGAAAAGTCAAACACATGAATTACATACTACTCTCAAAATTTGCACATTTCATTAAAGATCTAGACCAATTTTTAATTGCTACTTCAAAATCCAAGATGGAGGAGACACCCCAGCCACCTTAATGACATGAACTACTATAAGGAGTCGTCTGATAATTTTGATGATAAAGTACAGTAGGAAGATTATAACATTTTGAAAATTTTAGTAAGATTTTCTCTATTTTTCAGGTTTTGTAAATGATAAACAAAATTTGTCTTCTACCCTAATGTTCTAATTTTGGTCATTTTGGTCATGTTGGTTGACATCGGACACATCTTTAAAACTTTATACCCCAATGATGATTGCAGCCAAGTCTGGTTTAATTGTGCTCAGTTATTTCAGGATAAAAGATTTTTATAAAAGACGGCGACGACAGACGACGGACGCCAAGTGATGACAAAAGCTCACACTTGCCCTGTAGACCAGGTAAGCTTTAAACAATACTGCTTATAATTCGGTCGGATATAAGTCTTATTATATAGTATTTAAACCATTATTTTTTTTTAAATCCAAAGAATGGTTCTATAGAAAAAAAAACAGTCACAATATCAAAAAAAAATCTCCCTATAAAGACATATTTAGCGGTTTTTGAGTTTGTCAAATAGGTAACAAAGACTTGAAGGTCAAACGATTAAAAAGATTCGAGAATTCTTAGATTGGTACTTTTTTTGTTATTTAAATTTTTTATCTATCGTTTTTAGTTTTCAAGTTTTATATATCTTTTGTCTTTTTTTGTTTTTTTTATTTTTATGCTTTGTGTCAAAACCTTTCCAACTAATTTGTAAAGTTTGTTTGTATGGTGTGTTTTCACATCTATTCTCAATTCTATTACACTATATTCTTAGGTTTTGTCAGAGGTTGAGCATATTGATCTCTTCCCAGGTCACATCAATTTGCTAAAAGTCTACTTTATAAACAGGACATGGTTTTGAATACACAGAGCTTACCTTGACGCTTGTTAAGATGTCAGGTCTGGGCCACATTAATATTTCTAAGAATAAAAATACTTTAAAAAAAAGAAGTGGAAGACACCAGGACGACATTCAAAACTCAGAAGAGACTGACAAAGTCATGGCAAATGACGAATGACAACAAAAAATTCACAAAACACCACATAAAAAACTGAGGACTTGGTCAGTTGCATTTTGAGATATAAAATCAATATTTAAATTCGGGTAACGATTATACTCAGTGAACTTTTTAAAGAAAAATAGTAAAAAATTTTAAACCATTCATGTTGTATAATATCAGATTTAGACTTTGTGGTAAACATATTTCCTGATTATTTTGTTGTTTATTTTTCAGATATAAAATTGTTAATGGAATTCGAAAGCATTATTTTCATCCATAACCTTTGATTGTATATAGATATAAATGTGTACTTTGTACATGGCATTTCCACTTCGGGCTGGTTATCAACCTGAGACTCCCATATTAGCCAGAGGCGATTGTCAAAGGTTTCTATTCTCTCTAATATGTGTCGTGAACATTCGCACAACCCTATGGCATAATTTTATCATGTTGTATTCTTGATTAGGAGTTAAAACTATTTTAGTGCATACAGCACTGATGATACTTATGTAGATGAGAATATGTATTTGCAATGCGATGTCTTTTTTGTTTGTAAACCCCTAATCAACCTATTTTTCCATAACTGTTATGTTTATAGCTAATCGGTACATGTAACTATCAAATGATTCTATTGATTAACCATAAAGCACTGCCCACATGTTCTTATCTGATATCAGTGAGACACGTGCATTTGTTTACAAATCTAATTATCATCAAAACTCTTTAACAGTGCATGATATAGGAACATTTTTTCTTGTAGTTTCAAGACCAGCTGAAAGTGAAATTTTGATAAAATTTCATTGTGCTACCTTTAGCGATACTATAAAATGTAAACCGTAATTAGGTACAAACCATAGCAGCACGCAGATATCTTGGTACCGGGAAAGATTTTAGGGGTTTACTATTATAAATTTTGTTGTTATTGAAAAATCAGTAACGCAATGATGTCTATTTCTAACAATGAAATGCAATTGTGTTAAGATAACACATTTTGTTTGTCGTACATAAATAAGATATGCATTATCAACTGAATGATCTTTTTTGGACGGCTCTTAATTCTAACTCATCCAATATCTTCATTAAAACTGAAATAAAGAAAGTGTTTTACCTTTCATATTACGAAGCAATATTAATATTAAGAGTCTTACCTCTGCCAAAATGTTTAGTGTCATGAATACCAAGTATGGGATGCTGTATGAATCCAATCTGTTTTCAATTACTGTATCACAACCCTATTGTACAAACATATATTTTTGATTCGTAACTGTTTTCTTTTATTTGAGAGATTAACCTGCTTTACCTTAAAACATATCAAGCGATTATATTGTAAGAAGGGGTAGGGTATCGATTCATCCATTCGGCCAGACGAATAGACCTCGTAATTACATATTAGCAGACTTTTCGCGATCATGTTTAAAGTCAGGAAAATATACACCATGAAATAATCGTTTTTTTTTAAATCTCATAATGAACTGAAAAATTAGGATTGTTACAACAGCTACATTAGTAATATTTCTGTCAATTTAAATTCATATCTGTGTAGTCCTACGGCTGCGATTAGTTAGGCAAAAAATTTTTATTCAACCCCTATTTTTGTTTGGGTTCGTGTAGCTCAGTCTTTAGTTGATTTTGTATGCGATTTAACGTTTTTTTTTTCTTCGTAGATTTTCGTTTTGGCCATTAAGTTGTCTGTTTTTAATGTCTCATTACTATTTGTCGGTTCCTTGGCGGAAAATACGATCGGTACAATCAGTTCGAGTTAGCAAGTCTCATTTAATAAAATGACGGTTGGTCTGATTATGGCGACAAAAAACGAGTAGCAAGTTGGAACTGTCAACAGATGCTTCGCTCATTCCTATTAATTGAGATAAATGAAAATAATTGTCATATACGTCTGTTTTGAATTTCATTTACAATTTGCAAGGAAATCAACTTTTTGCCAAAAGTCATTATTTTGATTAAAAGTGACTATGGACTTCGACCGTATTGATCTCAATATCTGTTGGCTACTTCCTTTCGTTTAAATCAAGCAAAAAAACTCAAAGTACCGTAAAGAAACTTTTGTTTCGGATAAAACCGACGGACGGAAAACATGACTACATGCTCATAAAATGTGCATTTGAGCAAAAACATCGCTTGCTTCGCGTGCACAAAATCTTTCTAATGTGTCCTTGCAACTAGATATTGCATTGACCAAGTAGTAACTGTGTTAAATTAACAAAATGTTCCTATACGTATAAAATAGGTTATAACTTTCAACTGGTCCCGGCAGGTCGAACATTTATATCGTTTATTACTCAATATATATTGTTATACAATTACAAACACTTACTGCCTCATTTATATGTTTTACATTGAACAATGACGTGTTTTTTCTAAGGCTGTTTATGACGTTTATATATGAATACCATTGTGATTGATATTTTAGCCTAGGTAACTTATCTATTAATCAAAATAAGCTTTGAACTAGCATACATAACATGACATTGTAAAATTGTCCACAGTAAAGACAAATTGAATGGGAAAATGCACCATCATTCCGTGTGAAGTATACTATTATATTTCTCTCGACGTAAAACAAGATCTCAGAAGATAAAAGAGGGATAAATGTCTGTGTAATTCTTTACGAATACTATTTATTTGCTAGATAAAATTTATTGCATTGATATCGATAAAGAACTTGGACGGAAAATTCAAAATCGAAATAATAAAGACAAACATATATCGTAATTGATTAAAATAAGTTCAAAAATAATTTCCAGAACGGTCTCAACAGTAAGAGTCTTAGTTAAAATAGAATCATTTATTAAAAGGTATATAATGTGGCTGTTTCTTCATTATTCCTGATGTTTAGACATATTGGCACGCATCTATCTAGGTTTCGAGGCCAATATTACTAAACTTGAAGCTTTAACAAGACAAATACAAAAACACATCTCCTTATTATATATTTAGGACTCTAAAGTGCGATGGGGACGCTACAACGCGATGGTCACGCTAAAGTGCGATGACGAACGCTAAGTGCAATGGTTTGATACGCTAAAGTGCGATGGTATGTGCTATTCATATGAACACGCTAAAGTAATTTTTTTCGCAAAAGTCAGTCGTATCAAATTATTAGCCTGGTACCTTTGATAACTATGAACTTAATTTGTAAAGTTGTAAAAAGAAATTGAATCAAAACAGCCTGGGTGCCAAATAAATTTTCTTTTTTTACTTTATAAATGAATAATTCTATTAAAAAAAAATTGCAATATGTTTTGTTATTCTGTTGAATAATGAATATACGTCAACTAGACAGCAACCTAACGAACAGATGTGTAGTATCGTCATATATGATTGCCAATACGACAATCCTCTATCCACGACCTAATGTCATTAATGTACGCAACTTAAGGATAGAGTAATGAATTACACCGCATAGTATTCTATTAAGACTAAATGGCATAAAAACCAGTGTAAAACAATTCAAACGAGAAAAAAAAAAAAAACCTGATTAAAGTACATATCATTAAACGAACAGCAAATATGAAATATACCAACAAACAACTACCACTTAATTCCAGATAAACTAACTTCTGCAATGTAACCATTACACTTTTTGGACAATTCTATCGATAAAAATAAGCAGATGTATTATGAACTATCCATCCAGCCCCAAATGTCGGTCATGTATGTTCGACCGTCAAAGTAAAGCCTTGGTACATGCCGCATAACAAGATATAGGGTTATACAATGACCAGTGTTAAACAATTAAAAAAAAGACTACGACTTGATATATAAATAAAACAATAAACAAAAAGTGATAGGAACTCAGCAACAAAAGAAATTAAACTCTTGCCTGAACTGCAATCCCGTTATGCCAACTTTAGCGTGTCATACAATCGCACTTTAGCGTGTTATCTGATAGCAGTTAAAAACACAAACAACAATCGCACTTTAGCGTAGATCATAGTCCTTTATCGTGACCATCGCACTTTAGAGTACCATCGCACTTTAGAGTCATACATAAATAAATACAAGACAGCTAGTAAATAACAGTTTAACAGAACACTGACCTGACTATAGTAATAACCGTCTAATAGATTATTTGTACAGTCCTCCTCGTATAGACTGGAATATGGATAAACTTCTGTCTGAGATTTACAACACTGAACTGGAATACTCTGGGAGGGATCAGGCTTCTGTATATACCAATATGATGAAGTAAATGAGTCTGGCATGTACGTTCCAACTCCACAGCATTCAGCCTATATACATAATATTAACTTAGATCCAATGGAAGTGTTAACATAACGAAGTGAATAAAAATATTATCGGCTACAGAGTATATAAAAACAATTTTTCAAAAATGTATAAGAAATAGAAGATTAAATTTCATCATTTCATCCATTCGTTTAATGTTTTTGAGCTTTTGATTTTGCCATTTGATTGGGAACTTTCCTTTTTGAATATTCCTCGGAGTTCAGTATTTTTGTGATTTTATTTTTTACACCACCTGTTTATAAAGAAAGTAGAAATAAAACAAAAGAGATTGCACATAATTAGTTGAAGAAATAATATACTCATGCCATAATAAAGTAGACTTTAAAAACCTGATTGTGTGTACTACATGACTCAGCTAAAAAATCTTTTAAAAAAATCAGACAATCCTCATAACCACAAATGTAATGCACATGGATGTCTAAATGTTGGAAAATATAATGATGAATGTCAATTCATGGTAAAATCAATTTCAAGTGATTGTCAAAAAAACAATCATTGGGGTTTTTAACGCGAAATCAAATCATCATGATGTGCGTTTCTGTTTCAGCAGTTACGTTGACATTTGAATTTCTAAAAGTAACGGACGCCATCTATGGACTGAACAATGCTCAACAATTTACAAATACTATTAGTATTTACTTTATGTAACTTGATCAGTGACACAACTAATGGAGTGTTTTTTCGATCAAAAGAACAAACAACGTCTTCCGAATTTGAACGGTTGTTTAGCCGAGCCTCCCCACTGACAATTTAGGGCCACACACATGACATGTTTGTCATTAATCTCTTCCTGCATTCATGTACAAAAACATGTTTTACTTTTTGTTCCTTATTGTTATGATAATTCTAATACAGGCTAAACCAAAACAAAAACCTGTCATTCGCCAAAATTGAAACTTATTCTGTTTTAGAATTTAGTTTTACATTTGCAACTTATCCCGTTTCGTATCAGATTTTTTTTCAATAATTCCGTTTGCAACAAATGAATAACAAACTGTTATGCATACAAGTACCTTTACAAATAATGTATTCCAAGATAATGATGTTTCACGGTGATAGTGGCCTGATGCATGAGAATACATATAGCTATAATAACTGCTTAACTCCGTTCTCATTTTGTCCTCCAAATCTGAGTCTACCTGTTAAAAGCATGAACCATAAATAAATATTGTATATTGTGATGACCTCATTCATTTTAAAAATGCATGCATTATTTATGTAAACAAGAAATTCTGTCAATTGTTATTATTCATATCGTATAAAATCGTTACATAACAGCGTTACAATAAACACATTATTATTGAAATTCTAATTCAGACGGAAGTGTTCTTGTTTTAAGCATACTTAACCTACAATTTTAAACTGAAACGTTCATTTTAATCTCAATCGCTCCTAAAAGACTGACCAAAAATTTATTGAGTCATATTCAGTCCTTCGGCTAATTTTCAAACCTAAAAAAACGTCCTCTTACCTGATTAGATCAAATTTCGTAAATGCAAACTAAACTTCAAAAATGACACGGACAGTTGTATGATTTTTCCAAATTTTATGGACTTCCCCTTCATGAATTTACCTTAGAATTTTAAATGATACCATTTTGTTTTTGCACATTGCAGCTTACAACAGATAAACAAATTAAAAACAACAGTTATTTACATATGTTTAAATCTCATGAATAAAATATAAAGAAAAAAAACATTGGCAACCCACTAGTGCCCTTTTTTTGTTCTTTCAGGATATATCTATTATGATCTGATATGTTTATGGGATATTTACAGATAAACCTCTGTTTCTTGCAAACTAACGAATTAGAATATCCTTGCTAATGGTAATATTTCGATCATATTCTGTGCAGTTGCTTTACATACAATGATGTCTTTTGTATACATTACGCGTGTTTGATGTTCTGAAGTATACGGATGGAATCTATAATAATTTTTTTTGTCTTTTTATCAAAGACACTCAAACTTGCAGCTCCTACTCAGACTTTGTAAAACGTCACCAGTGTCTGAGCAGAAAGTTGATGAACCAGGGGTATGTCAAAGAACGTCTCGTACTTTTTCTAAAAAATTTCATCGAAAGGTACCAAGAACTTGTTGATAAATATTCCGTATCAACTTCACAAATAATACACGATGGTCTTGAAGTATAGATTTTGCGTACTGACGTTGTTTATCATCTTAATAACGTGTTATAGTATTCTTTTATTTATCTTTATTAATGTTACTTTTACTGTTAAGTCTGTTTTTTAGACATCCGTTTGACGTGAATCTGTGCTTATGTATCCCGTCACACTTTGAACGACAAAATTATTTTATTTATTAATATTACTTTTACTGTTGAGTCTGTTTTTTGTGATATGCATTTTACGTGACTCTGTAATTATGTATCCCCTCATACTTTGAACGACAAAATTATTTTATGTCTACCTGTGCGAATTTCAAACGCGCGATTTTACGCCAGTACTTAAAACCTTCCATCCTTTATGGGTGGATTTTACATAGATAAATAAAATCGTATAATATGAGCAAAATGAGGATTTTAAATTTGATGTATGCCTTTTTGTGCTTCTTCGTTACATTTGATTGTTTTTATAGTGAATAAGATGATAACATAATGTTGACTGCTGTACCCCTATTTTTGACATTTTTACCTATTGTGTCTGTTTGTTTTGTTCACGCATCGTTGTCAATATAAGGGAATTTGATGCGACTGTCTTACAAGTGAGAGGTTTAGCTAGCTATAAAACCAGGTTCAATCCACCATTTTCTACATAAGAAAATGCCTGTACCAAGTCAGGAATTTGACAGTTGTTATCCATTCGTTTGATGTGTTTGAGCTTTTGATTTTGCCATTTGATTATGACTTATATCTAGAAATTGACTATGATGGTCGGTTGAAAACAAAACTTTACGACAAAAGACATGATTTCAGCTTCTTAATTGTGAATTTTCATTTTTAAACCAAGAGTTCCAATGGTGAAGTTGAAATCATCACTTTGTAAATTTTACGGACGCCATCACGAGTTGGTTGACCATTATGGAATATCCGTTTCACAGATGATATCGGATATGTTCCTTATGTCGTAACTACAATCCCGTTCCCTTTTCACGAATGTCACCTACCGAATTAGACTATTTTCCCCTATTTGTGACATTTTTGCCTATTGTTTTTGTTTGTTTTGTTCACACATCGTTGTCAATATAATGGAATTTGATGCGACTGTCATACAAGTGAGAGGTTTGGCTAGCTTTAAAACCAGGTTCAATCCACCATTTTCTACATAAGAAAACGCCTGTACCAAGTCAGGAATATGACAGTTGTTATTCATTCGTTTGATGTGTTTGTTTTTTTGATTTTGCCATTTGATTGGGGACTTTCCTTTTTGAATTTTCCGTATCAGTATTTTTTATGATTTTACTTTTTTCCATACAATATTAGGTTTATTTCTATTTTGTGTATTTTTATTATATGCTTTCATTATTTCTTATTGTTGAACAATTATGAATATGTTAATAGATTCAAACAAACAGTTCAGTGGTCTATCATATATGTAGAAAAAAATATAGCGATTAATAATAAAGGGACAATGTCATGCTGAAAGACGTTTTACTTACGGAAGCCATATATTTCCCCCACAAACCAATTTCTACTATGCCTGCTACCACAATCATACTCCATAATCCTACACTCTGAAATTGATAATGGAAGTTCATCATCATTTCAGGTCAGTTTGACTTTATTTTTTCTATTTACTTATTCATTTCAAAATGTAATAATACCACAAATATTAATAGAATAATGTTATGTGTGGCATTGACTATTCGAAACTTCTAGCTTTACAATTAAGACTGAAGACATATCGCACAACACGAAGAGTAAAATGAAGAGAAACATAAACTAAAAGGGGGCACTCCTAAATCATGCCCAATAAAATTGTTTGTAGCCGACAAAAGAAAAATGAATATGCCATCTGTATATATGAAAATAAAATCGTAACCCCTTTCCTCTTACGTTAAATTGCTGTCCCCTAAACACAGCATTTATTCTTACAGACTGATTATTCTAAACCGAAACAATTTAAAAATTGTTAAAATAGAAGAATGAACTTTATCAATTTCGGGTGTCTGAAGCTCTTTTCTGTATTTACCATCATCAGGAACAATCAAACCAAACATTCGAAATCCATAGTTGCATTAATATCTAATTATATATCGGGATATATTATGTATTGCGTTAAAACTATAATTTTCACTCAACTTTGCTGTGAGAGTTGGAAACTTCGTTTCTTAATGATTGAAAGTATCACGTATTTGAACCAAAAGAGGAATCGGAAGAAATTATTCTACGTTTTTGAAAGGCTTCGCAAGACATTTCTTTTATTTCACATCCTACACACTTGCACACATTGGTGATTTCTTTGAGAAATCAGTTTTCCGACTCATGTGTTCATATAATTGACTTTTAACAACAACTGTAAAGTCTAACAGGCAATGAAAAGCTGTTTTTCATAACTATATTTGTCTAACTCTTTGCCAAAATAAAAAAAAAGTGACTACCAAAACATTTTCAGACTAAGAAAAAGTATTATAATGGACTGAACTACAAACCACGTAAACCACCAACACCCAACTCCACATGTAATAACATGCATGCATAAACGATTTATTTATTATTGTTGATTGCTTAACGTCCAGTGACAAACAGTTTATGCATGTTCAGGACGAAAACAAATTAACAATAAACACAATAGAGAGGATGTCCGGGATCCAGGTCGGATAAATTTCGACACTGAAAAATGAGGGTATATTGGATAGGGACAGAAATGGTGCCTTGCAAAAGGCCACCTACGGACCCCTCAAGGAGTTGTTGCAAGGGATCGTAACGGAGTGTTGTAGTCTCCCAATAAGAGGCAATGGATTTAACGTTGTACTTGATACATCCCCCACAGCCAAACGGACGCCCCACGTGCACTTTGGCGAGGGTTTTAATTGTCGGTTGGAAGAAGACCAAAGCGACCGTATTTCAAATCAAATTCCCCAGTTACCCTTTGGATAAACGAAGACAAGCAACAATCATCAACCCATAACCTTTCATGTATCATGAAGACTAAGTATACAACTTTAATTGAATTGACAGTATTTCATGAGTACTGTTGTGAGCTTTAGCTTAGAAATTAATCGTTTATATAGCATGTCATAGTATTAAACTTCAGGTGCAGTTGCCTTAAGAAAAGCTGTTCTAAGACCAGATTAGCTGACATGTTAAGGTTTCTACGACCATACCCTTTCTTTGTATTTTAGTCATATATACTTACAATAAACAACAAAACTTTTTTCCACTTCGGCGAAACAATAGAGATAATTGAAAATATGATGACAGCTATCGATGTCGATGAAAAAGTAACAACAACAATAGAAAATATGTTGAGTGCTCTGGTAAAGGTGTGGTCTGCTATTCTGAATTTCGATAACAATGCTTGTATATCTGAGTTTCCAAACAAAGAATCGTACCGAATGTTGATTGCTAAGACGAGTGTTCCAATATTACATACCTAAAAAAAAGTATCGATAGTGTCATACATACAAACAATTTTATTCAAGCTTTTCATATGAAAATAAGATCAATAGCATGTTTTAATGAGATAATATTTATCAATATTATTCAAAGATCCATAGTGATAAAAAGTCTTTAATTAAACATTTAAAAAATGTCTTGTAGAGGGGACCAAAAACAAACAATCTGACTAAAATATATATCATTTGCCCTATCAGCGCTCACATAGTAATGACAATGATCCTTCTTACGTTTTTACTTTTTGGATTTTTATTTTGAATACTCCCATGTTTGTTGTTTTGATATATAGCTCATATCTTGACTTACTTCTAGACATTGACAATGAGACTCGGTTAAAAACAAAAATTTACGACAAAAGAGGTAATTTCAGCTTCCCAATTGTGAACTTTCAATTTCTATGTAGCAACATTCCACCAGCGTTTGCATCAGGAATTTGTATCGCCGACTTGATACGATATTCCAGGGATTGTATTTCCTATCATGATTTCCTTGATTACTGTTCACAAGGAAGATACCAAAAGTGGTGAAGTTGAAATCCTCCCTTCGTTAATTTTACGGACGCCATCACGAGTTGGTTGACCGTTATGTAATATCCGTTTCACAGATGATAGCGGATATGTTCCAAACGTCTTAACTATAATCCCGTCCTATTTCCCCGAATGTAACCTATCGAATTAGACTTATTTCAAAAATAAAGAGATGTGGTATGATTGCCAATGAGACAACTATCCACCAATATTCAACTGAAGTGGATGTAAGCAATTAAAGGCAACCGTACGGCCTTCAACAATGAGAAAAAACACCATACTGTATGGTCGGCTATAAAAGGACCCGACATGAAAATCATGAAACAATTCAATTTAGAAACTTAACGGCCTGATTAATAACAAAACAATTTACGAAAAACAAATATGACAGACATGAAGCAACGAAAACCACTGAATTACAGGCTCTTGAATTTAGACATGCTCATAACGAATGAGTCGGCATTGAAACATGTTTGATAGAGCTCAACCCTCCCCCTAACCTGGGACAGTGGTGTTACAGTTCAATATTAAACCGAACTACACAAATCAGGTGAAAAAAGTTTTAACTCGTCAGATGGGTTCAAATAGAAATACATTAAGCAAAAACAGAGTTGACGTGGACGGGGACTTATACATCCCTACAACAAAAACACAGACCTGAGAGTACTCGCAGTTACTGACAGCTAGTTCAAAGCCAATAACATCTAATAAAACAAATCATGTATCTAAGACTAAAAAATCAATCAGTACATATCCAACATACAATGGTTGTACCGAGTTTGTTCTTACATAAGCAACACGATGGGTGCCACATGTGGGGCAGGATCTGCTTACCCTCCGGAGCACCTGAGATCACCCCAGTTTTTGGTGGGGTTCGTATTGCTCAGTCTTTAGTTTTTTTTTTTATTTGTTGTGCTTTGTGTACTTTTGTTTGTCTGTTAGTCTTTTTCTTTTTTAGCTATGCCGTTGTCAGTTTATTTTCGACTTATGAGTTAGAATGTCGCTTTGGTATCTTTCGCCTCTCTTTTACAAAATCATGAGACATAAATAATTCGTTGACATAACGTGACAATTATTTTTTTTTTAATCACCAACACATAATTTCCTATAATGATTGTAAGAATTGTGCCGTTACTTTATTTAAAACCGTTAATTTTCATTTCAGCATTACTTTCTTTCATTTTCCATTCTCCTTTTATCACGCATTTAGCATGTTTAGGTTTTAACGAATTATTGCCTTTCAGTGCTAGAGCGTTCTTCATTAAAGTATATTCAGAAAAGCGCTTTGGACGCACGTTATTTATATAGTGTTATCATTCAACATATATACTAAAACAACTGACGTAACATCAATCCAACAATGTCATATAATATATTATCCATGATGTACATTTTTTTTTCAAATACTCACCAGCAAAATTCCAATAAATATCAAATGCAACAATGAAATTTTAGATCTATAAAAGAAGAAGGTAGATTTATCTCATGTTGGTGCAAAGAATACTTTATCGCTTTGCGCCAAGTGTGTTAACTTATTACATAATAAATTTTACGCAATACTTTTTAACGTATCAGACCATTTGCAATGCATTCATCATGTGTTTTGAAAAATAATAAAAGTGAAAAGATCTTATACAGGCAGCAAACAACCGAATTCAAATAAAAACAGACGGAATCATTGCAAAGAAAAATGAAAAAAGAAAATCAAGAGCCTACACATCTACTTACAGAAAATTAAACGTTGAGCAATTATTGAACAGGAGGTTAAAATAACATTGCTACGAATTCGACAATGCAAACATTTATAGAAGCGAAATAAAGGTATTATATTTCGCTATTAACAGTCAGTTTAGTTCAATCTGTCAAAATAAGCTAAAATATTCAGATGTATTTTTGACTTGCAAGTCAATAATTCAACGCATTTTAATTATATTCATGCACTTTTAGTGTCGCCATTTTGTTCATGCATTATAAGCATGTGGTGGTCAGCAGAAAGGTATGTCAACATTGTAAAGTAAATAAAAGGGAGACATTTCGTTGACTGATCCGGCCCACAAAAAACCAAAAAATCATTCTCATAAAGATCAAACGACGATTAATATATATTTCTAACCTATGAAATGGAATCAAACAGACCGAGAAATATCCGATTACACATGCTTGTATGTCTATGTATGTGTATAATTAAGTTTATATCTGGTTATTAAATTGCTTCTGGTCAAAAATAGGCACAATATGCTGATACATTATAGCGAGACCGTGCATTGTTGATTGTTTCATTTGGACTAAATGTAGTTTGGATATACGTTTTCGTATGTTATCAATAAAATATGATAATTTGGGTTTAACCGGTGAATATGAATTTAACAGCTAATGCCTCTTTAAAACAGGTGTTCAGGAATTGTAAGCAGTATTTGTTCCACAGAGCCCGTCTTATTAATTATAACAAGTAAATATTCAGTAAAAACCGGTACGGTATGCTAAAAAAAATTATGAGAAACAATATCCAAAGAACATTCTTTATATTAATAAATAAAAAAAATACTAAACATGGCTGGAGAGGCATTCATAGTTAAAGACAATTATTTTGTCGACGCACCCGGTCTCGCTTCTTGTGGAGGTCATGCGATTCCATTATGTTTTGTATGTTACCTTTATTTATCTTTTTAGATACCTTTACGATATTTGAACATCGGTAAAGTACTGTCGTCTTAATTTTGCATCGGCACATTGTGCCAGTCCAAAACCAAGAACCTCGTCAGTTGCTTAAATTTTGGTTATAACCTTAAATTCTGTATTTGATTTTGGTAGTAGTGTCAGATCTTTGAATTCTATAACTTTGAATAATTGATGCTACTTCAGAGATTAAGAGCTACACGGTTTTTGTTTTCGTATACATTTGAGAGGGACGGCTGGGGACCCTATAGTTTTAGTAAGCATTTTTTTTTTATTTACATGTATTACGTTTTACAACCATGCTAATTCTCACTCGGTTAAAATGTAACAATCGGGAAAAGGACACGATAATTAAAATTACAGGTCAGACGACTACACTGTCATATTCATATGATGCAGATATAATATTTCAATCAGTTTAATTAAGGTCTGGAGCTGGCATGTCAGTAACTGCTAGTAGTCCTTTGTTAATTTATGTATCATTGTCATTTTGCTTAGTTTGTTTTGTTACCCATTCTGACATCGGACTCGGACTTCTTTTAAACTGAGTTTTACTGTGCGTATTGCTATGTGTTTCTTTATTTTACATTGGCTAGAGGTATAGGGGGTTGCGATCTCACAAAACATGTTTAACCCCGCCGCATTTTTACGCCTGTCCCAAGTCAGGAGCTTCTGGCCTTTGTTAGTCTTGTATGTTTTTTAATTTTAGTTCATTTATATGTTTTGGAGTTTAGTATGACGTCCATTTTCACTGAACTAGTACACAATTTTATTTAGGGGCCAGCTGAGGACCACCTCCGGGTGCGTTATTTTCTCGCTGCGTTGAAGACCCATTGGTGGCCTTCGGCTGTTGTCTGCTCTTCGGTAGGGTTGTTGTCTCTTTGGCATATTTTCCATTTCCATTCTCAACTTTACATGTCTTAGATAGCGCAAATATGTCGCTATTTTGACGAGACAACCAAAACAGCATATCGGTCAACCAGTTTTTGATGATAACCAACAAACTTATATAATGTCGATTTTAGTCGTTTTTCCTGATTACACTGTGTGAACAGTATCTGTGCATATCCGAATTTATTTCTGAAAGTCTTTCTCACATTGAAAGTATTACATAAGGGACAGAAAATCTCAAAGGTGCAGATGGACGGGTGGAATGAATCCTTCTGTTTTAACTATGTTGATTACAACACAAAAACTTTTTAATATTAGATTTTATGTAGATACATAATTAAAATAAAAGCTTTAACGAACCTGTGTCGGTCAGCTGTATCGACAATGGCCACTCTCACATATTAGAGACTGGAATGTTATTCATAACTAAATTTTCTTTTTGTTGATTAGTTGTGTTGTTAATTGTTTTTCTCTACTGTATTTAGAAGCTAATAAGGCTGATATAAGGAAAAATACTGAGAGTAATTCAGAAATAAGTTTATCTTTCCATTGCTAAATACACCCGGGACGATTAAAGTCTGTCCTGTTTACCATTTCATCATGTTCATTGTAGTTGTATTCTGAATTCTATCCTGTGGCTATAGATAGCTATAGGAATAGATTGATGTAGACCGAAACAATAAAGAGATCAGGTCAAATCAATAAAGGGACCAACTGTGTATCAATCATTATCTAACATCATTGAAATTGAAAAGCGCGAGCAAGCGTCATAAAATAATCATTGAAATGGCTTCTGTTGTTTTCTTTTACAAACCGATATGTTGAATTGTTAACCAATTGCCTAATAATAACGTATTTTGTGGCAAAATCATTTACATTAAAATATATGATATAATTCAGGTTTCAAAAGAAGATCCCTACGTGTTCCATATTTTGTCATATTTGGGCATTTTGTAGTTCTCAAATGCGATATGTGTCTTGCTCATAATTGTAGACCGTACATTGGCGATAGTTGCTTACATATACGTAGTTTGGTCTCTGGTGCAGAGATGTCTCATTAGCAAGCATACTAAATTTTCGTATTTTTATATTCCTATTTGTATTCATTCAAAATTGAGCTTGAAATGTTTGCAATTTCAGAATTGAAATTAACAAACCAAACAAGAGGCTCGCAAGAGCCTGAATCGCTCACCTGTTATTTTTTTTGCTTAAATCTTTCATCAATGATTATTTTTGCTTGAGCATATGTTCCATTTTAGCCATAATGTCTATGTTTCTTAACGTACAAGGAAATGAAATACAAAATTTTAGTTAAAGTTTGAATTTATTTGGCCCAGTGGTTTCAGAGGAGAAGATTTTTGAAATAGTTTACGACGACAGACGACGACGACAGACGACGACAGACGACGACGACAGACGACGGACGACGACGGATGCCAAGTGATGGCATAAGCTCACATGGGGCCCTTCGGGCCCCGATGAGCTAAAAAATTAAGAGGTATACTGAAATGTGATGGTTCTTTTATACTGGACTAGTGATTCGTGGTGATATGTATGTCTTGCAGCCACTGATTTAAGGACTATACGTTTCAGAGTTTATGGCTATCGCCCAAAGAGTATAGAGCTGTCAAATTCAAAGTTTATGGAAGTATTTTCATACAACTTTACCTTTTCCAGTTGCTAGTGAAGACAGATTTTATCCCTCTGAATACTATCCTAAAAATTATGGTTTTTGAGTGAGATTCGTTATTTGGGTCAACTGAGTTTTTACTGTCAGCTGTATCCAAGTCTCTGATCAGTGAGTATTCTCTGTTTCCAAATACTATTCCGACAATCTGCAAAATAAAACGACTTTTGTGATGAGATTTAGTGTTTAGTTATCACATATTTGTTTGATTAACAGAGTAATTAACTTCTCTAAAACTTATCAAAATTAATAGGCTCTAGGGACAGAAAACACCATTGTCAAAACAAAGTCTTAATGGGACACATAATTTACCGTACAGTTAACACTTCACACAAATTCAAGACTTAGCAGCACGAACCCTTCAAAAATCCCGATGTTAAAATAAGTGTTCCTTGCAGGAAGCAGTTCTGTTTCACTAATTATAACCTTTTGGTTGATCATGTCGTGTTTTCGGGTTCATCTTTGGAGAAAATAAAAATACAACGATCAATTTTAGTCATTGTGAGTGTACATGTATGTGTATAGCAAGTGTTGCCTTTGGACAATCTCCACATCAAAAGATTTAGCAGTAAAATATCAACAGATGACGAATAAAACCAGTAATTTGATTCGAGCTCATCTAACAAAAACAAATAGTGAATTCGTAACCGATGTTCAGGTGTTCAATGGGGATAAGTCAGCAGTAATTTACCGATATTCAAATATCATCAATCGAATAAAAATGCAAATTAAGGTATCAAACAACACCCATGGAATCGCATTCCAAAATCAGCGAGACCGGATACGTAAACAAGGTATGGATATCCTGCTATGCTTGCACCATCCGCTATGTAAAAGGACAAAAACAGTAAAATTACAGATTATACGACTATTCTTGTATGTACATATCTAAGATTGCAGCAACATGGCTCTTGTGAGTTGAGTCACAGACTAATAGCATCGGTCAACCAATTCAGGACGGTGACCGTAAATTGATGTTATGTCGATTTCAGTATGTCGTCCCCTTAACTATGTTTGAAAATTCAAAATTATCATTAATATAGCATTTCTTTAAGTAGACAACGGTGGATTAAACCTGGTTTAATAGCTAGCTAAAAAGTAAAATCACAAAAATACTGAACTCCGAGGGAAACTTAAAAAGTAATTCCCTAATCAAATGGCAAAATCAAAGCTCAAACACATCAAACGAATCGATAACAACTGTCATATTCCTGAATTGTACAGGCATTTTCTTATGTAGAAAATAGCGGATTAAACCTGGTTTTAAAGCTAGCTAAACCCCTCACTTGTATGACAGCCGCATTGAATTCCATTATATTGACAACAATGTGTGAGCAAAACGAACCGACATAATAATAAATCAGTCTTCCAGAAAAGCTCATGTTTAAAGTAGGTCTAATATAGATAAAGAAACACGTCGACAAGAAGTGTAGTAAAGATAGTTCCCAAAGCGCGTTTTCCAAAATAAGTTTTCAATCAAGAAAACTAACAACTTGACGATATCATTTACAGAAAACTTTTTATTTGAATAAACGTGTTTTTGAGCTTTTAATTCCATTTTATCCTTATCTGTAATAAGTGTACTAACATTGACTATTTATTTTGAAAACAAAGTTGGACTAATTCTTTCAATCTTTCTGTTAATAAAAGTGAGGAACAATAGCCACATTTTTATATCAATAAATGTTTATAAATATGTTTGTATTTGTGTTTGCTTGACCTATATGTGTTTATTTTGCAAGTAAATTATTGCTTTAAAGAAAATGTCATCAGTTAACTCATCTATGACAATAAAGAATCGAAAATTAGTTTTTATTACTTGTCGACTGAGGGTTTGTTTGGGGTCTTCATCGTTTGGCATACATTTTACGTATTTTCGCCGAAAATCATGAACACGTTTAATTATCCGTAACACTCTTCATAATGAAAGTAGACGTATTAATAATCAGTTTCTCCTCCAAATCGATATGTGTCGGATGCAGTCAACAACTATAGACGACCGTAAGTGAAAAATGTGAAGCTCAAATCAAATCATTCAATATGGGAATTTGATATAATAACTCGGTTCCACCTTGTATGATATGAAGCGGGATCACTCGGTTATTGTGCTCTCGCTGGTAGAAACAGACTAAAATTTCTCTTTAAAATTCATAGTTATCACGTTACATAATACAGTTTCACTTTTCTTGTGAATTACATACAGAATTAAGATATAAGAAACAGAGACATTGATTTCTTTACATTTTTACAAGAATCTAGAAATAGAGAAACTGTCGTGATTTAGGGTGGTTTTTACTTGATTCTAATTCTTGATATACAGACGTTAAATTGAACAAACTCTTTCAAGAGGTTATAGAAAAAAGTTAAATCACAAAAATACTGAACTTCAAGGAAAATTCAAAACGCAAAGTCCCTAATCAAATGGCTAAATCAAAAGCACAAACACATCAAACGAATGGACAACAACTGTTCATGGACAAATAACAACATTTTCATAACTCCTTATTTCCACATTTTCATTTTTTTTTCTTAAAATTTCAATCGTATGATAATTGTTTATATCTTCTACAAGCCAAAAATAAAACGATGTAATACTATTTTAGTGTGTTTCAAATACAGGTGTTTATTTCTATAGCTTAATGACAGATGTGACATTAACCTGTTTTGAAAGAAAAAAACAATGATATATCATGGGAAAATAAACATCAATATAAAAATAAGGAGATGTGATATGATTACCAATGAGACAACTATCCACAATAGTTCAAATGAATTGGATTTAAGCAATTATTGTTCATCTGAAATTTTAATAGTAGCTGTTCTCGGTATGATCTGCATGTAGCAAGAGAGCCAAGAACTTGACGTTGGAATCCAAATTATAGCCGAAAAATATTTAATAATAGTCTGATTTTTAGGTTTGAAGCAAGATTAGCGCACTTAAATAATTTCCTTTCATTCTGTTTAAAACTAGGCTGAATCCTAATGCCTATCCCAAGTTAGTATTATAACAGTTGATTTCCAGTCGTTCCGTTGGTTATTATAGTCGAGTAATTGGTTTTGTCAGTTTTTATGGACTTCCCCCTTTTTAATTTACCTTGGAGTTTGGTATTTTTGTGAATACTTTTTTGCATTATAAATATTTTTGTCCGTTTTCAATTCTCCTTGTGAATCATACACATTTCAGTCGACGGAGGGTGAAAATTATTTATATATTGCATCTAAATACCTCAAGTATTATTTGCAGGAACACTATTACCAGGAACCAGCCAACAAACATTCTAGCTTTAAATAAGATCTTCCCGCTGCATGTCTGCAAGAAGTTTAAAAGACACTTCAATATAAAATTTGACTTTTAAACCATTCGGTTTTCTTCCGTAACTAATTTTTATAAGTGATATGAACACATGTGGATGATGTAGTAACATGGATGAATTTTGACTTTTTTATCACCTTGGAGCAAAGCGCATGAAGCAGGAGAATCATTTGATAGTTTTTTAAAATGTTCTTGATCTTTTGAGATACTTTTCATTCTTTTTCATGAACTTAATATTTGTATGAACAATAGTTTCTGTCATCAAAACGTCCTTTTTCGACATTATATATTCTTAAATTGTGTATCTTCATAACGACATCTATTAAAAAAAGATACAATTGGTAATTGTTAAGATATCAGCAGAAAATTAAAAAAATGATAAAATCTGTGTTTTAAATAATTGATTTTTTCCTTCAAATAAATGTAAAAAAAGTTGTAGTTTTGTCACCATTTATATAACAAAACATCTAGTTAAAGGTTAATGCAACCGTCTTTTCATTTGTCTTGAGAAGCATCTGGCCGGCTGGGTCAAACCAAAGACTTTAAAACTGGTATTTGCTGCCTCTCCGCTAATCACGCGGTAATAAGGAGTAAGAGCAAAGACTGGTCGACTCAGAGTCAGAATAATGTGTCTGGGTAAGGTGACATGTCTTCCTGTGGACTGTTACCTTGTGAACTAGCACGTTAAAAATCCGGCTCAGCGTGTCGGTCAAGTGAACAACACAGGGTAAATATTCATATTAAATTAACATGTTCTCGTCCTGAATACACATATTAATTTGCCACTAGACGTGAAGCAGACTTCCATCTCCTTCATAAGAATATAGCAACAAGTTGACAAGCAGATGGACACTGTTGGTTTCCATAGAAATGCCCATTGTCTATTTAGGAACATGTTCATTTATGGTAAATCTTAAACATACTTATGGTTTCAGTGGACACAAACTGACACAAATATGTATCGGATATATTGATAAGATGTATATATGAGATAACTATTATGTCCCTTTTTCATTCAGAACCATCCTGTTGTTAGCTGGGCTGTGCAGGTCTTGAATTTTCTCGCTGTCTTGAAGACACATTGGTAACCTCGAGCTGTTTTCTGCTCTTTGATCGATTTGTTGTCTCTTTGACACATTCCCCGTTTCCATTCTTTATTTTATTTGTATTATGTGAGATTCTTATGGGATTCTTTGGGTTTTTTTTTCTGGAGTTGTATCTTCTTAATAGATTTATGATTTTTGAATATCGGTAACTAAACTGTTACCTCTTAATAATATTTACTTTAACGACATATGGTCTAGATAGACGAGGTGGATGAATTAAATCTTCCTTTTTGATATTTTGAAACATGCAAACCTGTCTCTCGTTTTTTACTTTTATTTCAATGAGAAGGTCAAAGTTGCATCCCAGTGTTATAATCTAGTTTTTATAAGGTTGATCAATTTTAAAAACAAAATGTATATGCTAATGTGACATAAAAAAAAAACAACAAGGCAAACATCAAAGTGACTTGAATTTAGTTCATTTTATTTAATGTTTGCATATTTTGAAATGTTTCTTGCTCTAAAAACCTAAATACTTATAAAAATCTTAAAGAAATTAAACATGTGGAATTCCTTTAAAATTGTTGAAATGATTGTAACAGAATTTTAAATATATCAAAAATAAAAAGATTCAAACAACTATCAAAAGCCATAATGAAAGGGCAAACAACATTCTGGTGTTGTCTAGGGACGAAACCGATAAACGGCAGGTATAACTAGTGGAGCAGCATCTTCTGAACCTTTCGAAGCACTTGAGTTCATCGATTTTGATAGTGTTTGTGTTGCGATATTTTTTCAGTTTTTCTGTGTAATGTTTTTATTCATTTTATTATTTGTTGTGTTTTTTTGTCATTTTTTTCATTTGGCGATAGGTTTGTCTTGGTTTTTTTTTTTTTTGTTGTGTTTTTTTTTTATATCTCTGTGGTGTTTGCATTTTATTTTTTGGGTCGTTAAAGCTGTCTACATTTGTTAAAACATTCCAAGAGCGACTCGTCAGAAGCATATTAAAATTTGTCCAATTGAATTACGCTAACTTACGTTGGTGCTTGTAAAATACAATCGTTTTCTCATTTTTAACTTTTGAATCTATAATTAAGACGAACTCGTTTTAATGCCTTGTCATAAAAATGCATTAAAATATTTGCCACTGGACGTAAATCAAGCAACAATTATTCAATTTAGGGGATTTTAAGTCAATGTTAGGATAGATCAATGTGAATAACATTCAATAATCTTGTCAACCATACTTACGTTACTATTCAGTTCACCGCAATAACCAAAATAATTCAAATTAGGTGAATAGGTAGAATAACTCGATCCGGTATCCATTCTACTCTCATGTGCATTTTCACAGCAGAACATATATGCGTACCTATTACTTCTGTCCGTTGTATCCGAGGAGCTATGTACTCCACAGCACTGTAACTATAAATAAATAAATGTTATCTTTTTAAAGGTCGATTGAATACAAATAACAAAAAACATTTCACAACGGAACTTGTACAAAAATTGATCATATGATGGTTTCGTTTTCACTTTATATATTCATAAACCATTGCCAGCTAACAGTCCCTTTTCAATAATGGTTGTGATCAAAAACACATTTATATATATATATATATATATTTAGCATCATACTATCAAAATCATGTCATTCCATCTTCGTGTTATTTCATTTTGGTTCAGGTTGTAATAATAACCATTCTGCTGGATTCCAAGCTGATCTTTCATATGGTCATCGATCTGTAAATAAAATGCATGAAACGTCGTGATTAACTTGGGAGCGTTTTGATTACTTTCTTTTTACAAAAAAAAATATTGTACAAATGTTTGCAAAATAAATTTGCAAAAATTGTGAAAAAAAAAGTGAAAAAAGCAAAAGAATGTAAATTGTTGCTCAGTCTTTAGTTTTATATGTAGTTTAGTGTCCTTGCTTTTTTTGTTTTTTTTTCCTTTTGACTTTCGAGTGTCTCATTGTATATTCTGTCACTTCTTGAGATACTTTGGTTTCATGTTTTTAACGGGGGAAAGTGTACACTCATTTTTGTTTCAACACCTTTCGTGGTTTGGATTCGTGTACCTTTCAATGGGATAACAAGAGATCTTTAGGTACGAAATGTGACTTATATATATAAAATACCAAAACAATTGTGAATATCAATACTAAATTAGCATAAACAATAGTATGATATCAATTTAAGACCTTTGAATAACGAAAACAAATAACACAAGTGAAATCTACATTAGTTTAATGTAGTGTTTTGAAAGCAAGAACCGTTGCAATGTGTGGCATACGTGCCAATGTACATTTCAACATACTTACTGCCTGGCAATGGGTATATTTTTTGTTTTAGTAAACACACCGTGTAATATTCCAACAAATCATGATTTGACAACGAAACGTCTTTGGAGTTTAAACTGTGTAGTTTTTTTAAGTAGTACTGTTTACAAAGAAAGTCGCCGTGTTTCCACAATAAATGAAGTTATTAATTCAAAATGTCGATTCTTTATAGGAAAACATTAGATAAGATATTCACGAGGTAAGGAAATGACACAATAATCATCGACATTACTTGCTTGGTTACGTTTACGCTGTTTAACTGCTAACCCTGTCGGTGCACCATGGTTCACCTATGGTTTTTGGATTGGTGTATGCTGGTAAATCTTCAGTTTACGAACTATTTCATTGTTTTTTATTTTTATTTTTGCCATTGTGATGATGCTCTTCCGTATCTCCTGATTTTGATTTCCTTCTCTTATCGTTGTACTATTAACTTCAGCTCGTGCAAATAGAACTAGAGGCTCTAAAGAGACTGTGTCGCTAACCTGCATCTTCAACAATGGCCACTTTTTTTGAAAATGATCATTAAAGTAGACATACCTCTATCAAAAGTTACCTGACAATTTCAGTAACTTGGAAAAATAATGGTAAAAATCATAATTATTGGGCTATAACTCCAATAACGAGTGGACCGGAGATTTCAGATATGATCTGCCTCATATCTTGACTTACATCTAGAAATTGACAATGAGGGTCGGTTGAAAACAAAACTTTACGACAAAAGAGATGATTTCAGCTTCTCAATTGTGAACTTTCCATTTCTATGTAGCAACATTCCAGCAGCGCCTGCATATGGAGTATATATATCCCAATTGATACGATATTCCCGGGCTTGTATTTCCTATCATGATTTCCCTGATAGAGAATTGCTGCTCACAAGGAAGCTATCAAACCAAGAGTTCCAAATTATGAAATTGAAATCATCCCTTCGTAAATTTTACGGACGCCATCACGAGTTGGTTGACCGTTATGGAATAACCGTTCACAGATGATACCGAATTAGACTATTTACCGGATTTGTAATAGCATAAGCAACACGACGGGTGCCACATGTGAAGCACCATCTGCAAATCCTTCCGGAGCACCTGAGATTACCCCCAGTTTTTGGTGGGATTCGTGCTGCTTAGTCATTAGTTGTCTATGTTGTGTCATCTGTACTATTAATTGTCTGTTTGTCTTTTAATTTTTGACCATGGCGTTGTCATTTTGTTTTCGATCTATGAGCTTGACTGTCCCTCTGGTATCTTTCGTCCCTCTTTTATTTGTAAATATTGTTTTACTGATCATTTTCTCTATTTAAAGTTTCTATCTATCAGCTATAATTTTCAAGATAAGAGGCAAAAAAGCAAAAAAAAGAGAAAACCCGTCATTAAAAGGCAATAACTTCAAAAAGGAGTCGACTGACGATTTCGTCATGTTGACTTATTTGCTGATCTTTTCTTGTTGATCATTTTGGCTTTTTAAATGTTTCTTTCTACCTAGAATAGGCTTTTAAGATATAAGGCAAAAACGCAAAAAATTAATAAAAGTAATCAATCTTGTGCATTAAACCGGGAAAATGAAAAAAATGCCTTTAATGTAACAGTTAAAGACCTGTAACTCTGGAAAGATAAATAAAAAAATAAGAAAAAATCAGTTTTCTTTAATCCATCCCCACCATTATATAAAGTTTGAAGGAAATCAATCCTGGAATATTGGAGTTAGTGCATGATTTGGGAAATATTGCCTTACACCTACGTTTCAAATTTCCGGAAAATAAAACTCTAGAAAGACAAAGCCAAAAATAAAAATAATAAAAAGTTAACTTTCTTACGTCAATTTTAATGTTGTGTAAAGTTATATGATAATTGGTTAAAGCAAATTTGAGTTATCGAATTAAGTGTTAAAAGACGGACGGACAGACGGACGGAAGGTCGGACTATTGTTTACCACATACGTCCCGTTGACGACGGACGTTTAAAAACACATAACATTGCTAAACATCATCGTCAAATGGCAATAACTTAAACAAGAAGTCGTCAGACGATTTTAGCCTTGTCAACTCATTTGATGATCTTGTTTTGCTGATAATTTTTGCTTATATAAGTTCCATCTATCTTTTATTTTTTTTAGTGACAAAAACGAAAAAAATTGGTAAAATTTGTCATTTAAGAGCAATAACTCCTATGAGAAGTGGTCTGCACTTTGAATATGTCGATCTCATCATTACACGACGGGTGCCACATATAACGAGTTGGTTGACCATTATGGATCTGTTTCACAGATGACGACGGATATGTTCCAAAAGAGGGACGAAAGATACCAGAGGGACAGTCAATTGTCGCAACTACAATCTCGTTCCCTTTCCCCGAATGTGACCTACCGAATTAGACATGTCACCGGGTTTGTACTCACATGAGCAACACGACAGGTGCCACATGTGGAGCAGGATATGTTTACTCTTCCGGAGAACCTGATATCATCCCCCCCCCTCGTCCCCCCCCCCCCCCATTTTTTTTTTGTTGGGGTTCGTGTTGCTCAGTCTTTTCTTATTAGAGTTTTCAATGTTGATTTGTGTACTGTTGTTTGACTGTTTGTTTTTTTTTTTTTTTTTTAGCCATGTCGTTGTCAATTTATTTTCGACTTTTGAGTTTGGATGTCCCTTTGGTATTCTTCGCCTCGATTTAAAAATGTTTGCCCTGTCAGCTTTACTTTATTCATAACGGTTTTCAAGATAATAGACAAAACTTGCATTTTCCACTGTGTTTCATTTTTAACCACGGCTATGTTGGTTGACATGCGGGTTCATCGGACACAATTTTGACATACCGTTATGATGATTGTGTCCAAGCGAGGTCAGATTTAGCCCAATAGTTTAAGAGGAGAAGATTTTTGTAAAATTTAGCAGACGACGACGGACGCCAAGTAATGAGAAAGGGTAATTTGGCCCTGTGGGCTAGGTGAGCTAAAAAAGATGCCTATTTTCCTATAATTTTGTGTTAAATTGCAAAAATTAAGTACTTATTCATGCATACCTGTTCAATGAACACCACGAACAAGACAATAGAAATGATTCTTGGCACGTGCAAAAGTGTTGAAAGAACTGAATTCTGCAAAGATACATGAAAAATAAAATAGTATTTATAAATTTGGTTCGTTCGAAGCCCTTTTCTTTATAACGATCAAACTTACTAGCAAATATATGAGAAATGTGGTCAATATATCTACAAATGTGTTGGTTGAACACACTTAACCCACTAATGAGTACTTACAAGGACTTGTACAACGTTTTTCTTTTTTTCGACGAATCAATATATTTGTATATAATAACGTTTTTTTGACAATTTGTTTTATCATTGGATTTTTTTCTGTTAAGTTTCCTCATCCTCCACATTTTTCATGCTCCTTAGTCAAATCATCATACGCACGTTTTGCATCGACAATAACACTTTTTTAGATATCTGTTTTTGTTTGTTTAGTTATTGGTTTCTTGAGTGTTGCAGTTGTGATATACTAGACAAGCTATGTTTGAGGCGAAATATAACAGAATTTAAAATATTTATTAACGACTATGATAACTCATTAATAACAAGAAAACAAAAAAGACTTGTAACCATGCCACGGAGTAGTATGACATACAATGTGCTTTCGAGATAACTCGATATCTGAGTGTTCAGATCTGCATCATTAAAATTACTTTATTTGATTAGCAAAATTAATAATATTCTTTTTGGTATCGATGATAAACTTCTACATTTAAGGTCTGCAGTTTCAAATTGTTACTACCTACTATAATCAGTAACGCTGTTGATTTTCTCCAGGATCCAACTAATCCAATGATTGCTAAAACCATCGTCAACACACCAATAACTACACAGGAAGCAGCCAACCCCACTAGTATATCATAGAAATAGTAATTGTAAAATTGTAACTGGTAAAATATATGTTTTAGGGAACTATCATAAATGAATTTATCTCCAATTAAAGTAAGTCCTAATCCAAGAAGGCCAGCTCCAACTATCTGAAATGTAAAATACAAAAGTAGAACATCCTTCTTTGCATATTAATATCCTATCCAATCGATATTGTAATGTCCTCTCGAACCGTTGTATAAAAAAATCCCTGAGAGCTTTAATTAAAAATTTACTTTTCACATTATTATAATGTGAACAAAAGATACAGCCCATGTTTCCCGAAAAACTTTTTACCGCAGTGAGGCTCGAAACACCTGTCTGAAAATGAGAGCCGAAGAATACCAAAGGGACATTCAAACTCATTCAAACGCATCAGTCGAAAATAAACTGTTTCAACTCATAAGCATTTTGTGTACTTTTCATTAAAATTACCCATATCTGATATTCATTTTAAACTTTTCATGCAAAGTTTCTTTCAAAATGTGAAAACTAAACTAAAGGTTGAGTGTTTTACACTTTAATTGACATAAAATACGCAAATAAAACTCACAATTGTAAAATTCATCTTTGTTCCCTAGACACCTATTTTGCAAGGGTTTGATGATATATTTTTTTACGTGTTTAAATTATCTTTACGTGTTTTAATCTATCTTTGTATGATAACGGTCAACTTGATGCAGTGCTTCATTTCATTGATAGCAATATACCTTTACATTTACTATATTAGAAACTTACAAGTGAACAGATCTTCAGGATAACGGAGAAAAAAACAGACTTCGACCTACAAAGGAGCATATTGAAATATGACATGCATAGATGCAGCATTCAATAAAGACAAAACAGAACTCAATGGTGAAGTTTAATAGCATTGAAAATCAAAAGATCCCTTGTTGAAGAAACGTCCATCACATGATGACAAACGAGACGATTTTAATTTTGAAATTATCAATTTCCCCAACCTTAGTAGCAATATACTAACTTCACCTGCATGTGGGATATACATTTCCCAACTTATTTGGTATTCAAGAGTTTGCAGCTCCTACTCATACTTTGTAAAACGTCACCAGTGTCTGAGCAGAAAGTTGATGAACCAGGGGTATGTCAAAGAACGTCTCGTCCTTTTTCTAAAAAAGTTTTGGAAGGTACCAAGACCTTGTTGATAAATATTCCGTATCAACTTCACAAATAATACACGATGGTTTTGAAGAATAGATTCTGCGAACTGACGTTGTTTATCATCTTAATTACGTGTTATAGTATTCTTTTATTTGTTTGTATCACTATTACTTTAACTGTTATTCTGTTTTTTGTGATATCCATTTTACGTGACTCTGTACTTATGTATCCTGTCATACTTTGAACGACAAAATTATTTTATGTCTACCTGTGCGAATTTCAAACGCGCGATTTTACGCCAGTACTTAAAACCTTCCATCCTTTATGGGTGGATTTTACATAGATAAATACAATCGTATAATAAAAAAGCAAAATGAGGATGTTAAATTTGATGTATGACTTTTTGTGCTTCTTCGTTACATTTGTTTGTTTTTATAGTGATTAAGATGATAACACAATTTTGACTGCTGTACCCATAGTTTGACATTTTTACCTATTGTGTCTGTTTGTTTTGTTCACGCATCGTTGTCAATATAATGGAATTTGATGCGACTGTCATACAAGTGAGAGGTTTAGCTAGCTATAAAACCAGGTTCAATCCACCATTTTCTACATAAGAAAACGCCTGTACCAAGTCAGGGATATGACAGTTGTTATCCATTCGTTTGATGTGTTTGAGCTTTTGATTTTCCCATTTGATTAGGGACTTTCCTTTTTGAATTTTCCTCGGAACTCAGTATTTTGGTGATTTTACTTTTCACATCAGCAGCTGTCTTCAAAGTTAACGTCAGATTGAAACATTACTTGTCAACGCTATCACACAACAATTTAATTACGAAACTAAAAATCAAATATGTCTTTAGTGTTTCCCCCATCACACAAAAAGGGCATGGTAACTTCAATGAAAAAGGACACCTAGAGCCCGCAAAATATTAACAAAAGGGCATATAGATTATGCTAAGAATTAAAGACTTTTCGTTGATTGCCGATAATGGAGGTAAACTTGTTCTCAGGTCTTCAATGAAATTACCTGATCGTGTTATAAAATTATATCTATTTTAAACTATAATCGGCTACTTAGTGAATGTGATATAAGATTGGGCTATTTTGCTTAATTTGTTAATAGCATTCCCGGTACCAATTTTGTTACAGCAGATGTACATTCCGACATTAAACGTCTTTTCGTCATTTTTTGTGTCGTTGATACATTCGTGTGATGCACAGTTCATAATTCTATTGTGGTGTATATGAAAGGTGTCCGTTGTTATTCTGTGGTTTACATGTTGTAATTTACTATTATATAACTCATTTATGTATGTCCTGAGTGTTCTTTCGTTTAATTGTAATGTATTCCTGTCACGTAATGTTGCCATTTTAGCGGTATTTTTAACATTGCCATATAAGCGGGAGGTTTGGCTAGCTATAAAAACAGGTTCAACCCACCTGTTTTTCTTAAAATGTCGTATACCAAGTCAGGAATATGGCAGTTGTTATCAAATAGTCCGTTTCTATGTATGTTGGTTTGTTTTTGTAGCAGTTCAGTGTTTATGTTGTTCCGTTGTTTTCCTCCCTCTTATAGTTGATGTGTTTCCCTCGGTTTTAGTTTGTGATCCGGATAAGTTTCAGTTAAATCGATTTATGACTATTTATCAGCGGTATACTACTGTTACCTTTATTTTTCACTTGTGCTCATAACAAATTATTTAAAAATCCAAAACCTTATACAAACCTTGATGAACTGATATAACTCAAAAGGACCAAAAAGTGTAGTTATACTCTATAACATAATCTTACAATAGTGAGGATAGATGATTCACAATTGCCTTATAATTAACCGTTATTGGGAATCGTCAGTGTAAGTTAAAGAGATCTACTGTTCGTTTATATTTCTTCATTTTACCGTGTATTTTGAATATCACCCCTTTTTATGTTGTTTTCATCAAGCATCATTTAACATACAAAACATTCCTCATCATTAGATTCACTAAGTGTATTTCAGTTTGTTACCCGGATTTGGTTTTGCTTAATCGAATTATGACTATTGAATAGCGGAATACTACTGTTGACTTTATTCACCTTTTCCAGTTATCTCTAGCAAAAAATAAGATATTTCTGAATATCCCATGTTGTATAGTCAACAACAAATAGTACTTGTTGTCTGTAAGGTTTGGTTTCTTTTCTTTGAATTCAAATTTCCTAAATGTATATTCTACAGCAACTATGGTAACAACCTAGGAAAGAATTGTAATATTATGCAACAAATTAGTTTTATGATTTGACGATTAAGTAGTTGTCCTTCTGAAAAAGACAACTTTAATTTTTATTATCTTTTTATAATAGAGAAAGAAGTTTTTAATACAGCGGAATAATCTAAATAAAACGTTTACGATTAGCAAAACATCAAAATCCTTTTGACTGTCTCCCCCGTACTTCCATATATGCTTACTTGAACTTATCAACCTTCTTGAATTTAACAAAATCAAGAAATAATTTGATTAAGCTACTGATATTTTTTTTATTTCACAGGAACTCTAGAGTCGTTAACTACCGCTAGGAGAAAATAACATGAGACAATAAAATGCCCAATTTCCTGGCAATAATCTGTCTTTTGACAAAGCGTTGTTTTGGAAGGTGATGTGTGCAAGAAAAAAACAAGCATACATGTCATTAGTTTACTTAGGTCCGTACGAAAAGGATAGTTTTGCAAATACTACTTAACACTGCTTAAACCTTTATAAACAATTTAATTGTGTATCAATATATATATATATATATATATATATATATATATATATTAATATACATCAAAACAAATAATGGAAGTTTTGCTCGAATAAAAAAAAAAGACCAAACCAACGCATATTTTTATAAAGTTTGGTTGTCCTTGTGGTATACCTGTATTTCGCCTTTCTTTTTTGACACACAATATCAGAAGAGGGTTTACATGTATATTCTATGAATCTGTATTACACATTAATTGCGTTTCTATACAAAGAATAATTGACCTGTAAACAAATTAAAACAAGCGTGGGAGAAACAATAACACCGATTTAATAAAGTTTTTAAGATTTTGAATATATGAAAGCATTTCGTTTTATTAAATATCATGTTACCATAAGATGTTATGTCTTTGTATCAAATTTAAATGAACAGTCTCATACGAATTAATGCCATTTCTGCATCAATTTCTGTAAGTGCAGTAACAATCTAGATGTAATAAAGATATGTGTTGAGATCCCTTTCTACCTTATGCTCTTTATTTTTCAAATTACACAATTACTGACTCCATTTAACTTGTGAGTCAAAACAAAATGGCTAAAACACTCTATTCATAACATGCATTGCTCGTACGACTCTGTTACTGTCTATCCATGCAAATGTTTTCATCTTCAACACTATTTTCTTTACCATATACATTTCTGTGCTCAATATATGATGCCTATTAAAAAGCATTTAAAGAATGAAAACGTTTGTCATGTTTGTTATGGCTAAGAGAATACACGGTCTTATTTTGAAAAATAAATTATACCTGGCAAACAATACACGTGACAATCAATCCAAAATATATATGCAGGTAGCTACTGAGTTGCTCATTATAGATTTCATAGCAGTAATAAATACCGGACTGTCCTCTTCTTTCACATCCTAGCTATTTAAGATCAAATAAATAAATTTGATTATTTAATTTACAAAAGGTACATTGAGGGGATATTAACTCGATCTCTTTTAAAAAGTTAAATAACATGACAAAAAAAAGGATTACATATGTGTGTCGCTTCTTATCTTGACACCATGCTTAACATGCTTAAGCAGGTAAAATAAATTGAGTAATAAAACATATCACCATAAATCATTACAGATGATATAATTTTAATATGTATTCTATATTACTTTGGTGCAATTGAATATACATTACTTACACAAAACATCCCTGAAGAACCTATTCGATGTACATAAATATTCATTTTGATATTTTATTACAGGTGAATTATCTTTTATTATTTTTTGTCGAATGCTGTACTCGGAAATTGATTTATTCTTTATGCAATTACGATTAACAAACGTACCTTTGACAGAAAATTCGGAAATGTGTGAGAAAAATATGAAGATGAAATATGAGTTGAACTTGCTTCATATGCTGCGGTATAAGTGCTTAAGGTATCTCTCAGGTTTGACTTCTAAAAAATAAATGTAAATAATGACAAATCAGCAATCTATTTGAATCTTTCAACAAAGAGTGTGAATTGCTTAAGAAATGAATGCTTCTTTTTGTAATTTTATTGGGGTGTAAAAGCGTTGACCGAAGCACATTCTGTATGAAGCGCGGGAGCACTTCCTTCTAAAAATGTGTGCACGATCAACACTTTTACACCCCAATAAAATTACAAAAAGAAGCATTCATTTCTTATAATTACATTTGTATGCTAATAAAACTATAACAGTTTTATCAGGTTTTCTTTTATTTACCTGTGCACTTTTTTCTGGAAGCACTTGTCATCACGAATGTAACACTCATTTTGATTTGAAGATTATTTTTTGAATGAAGCGCGATTGTTGTTAGCCAATCAAATTAACGGATTCTCGAGAAACATACATGTAACGACACGCGGCAGGGTGTCGACAGGTCAAGTGCATCCTGAAATGCATGCATCAGCTGTGACAGCTAGGTAATGGTAATTCATAATCTGTCAACAATGTTACAAGGATTAGGATTAGAATATCAAAACGTTTGATGTACCAGTCTTTTTTAGATTTGAAGAAGTGAATAACTTAGACTGGCATAAAAAATGTAGTTTATTACAAGCAATTACTTTATATTATACTTTCAATTATATGTTTAAACTTTTGTTAACTTACTAACAAAAGTTTAATACAATTACGCCGTTCAGTTGAACATATTTGTAGTAGGAATTTAGAACTTTACAAACGCATAATTTAATGCATTATTTCCAACTGTTTTGTTGACAGTATTTTTTTTGTGATTTTCATACAAGAGATATTGGTGGTAAAATTCCAGCAATGACATTGGCCAATGCATTGGCTACCTCTTTTTTGTAACTGGTCATTTGCACCATATTTTTCACATTGAATGCTCATTATTAGCTGATAGAATCAAATATTTACTCACTATTATAAGATATATTCAAGTATTTACAAATTATTAGCAGCTATATTCAAGTATTTACTCATTATTAGCAGCTATATTCGAGTATTTTCTCATTATTAGCAGATATATTCGAGAATAGCTCATTACAATTTTTCCTCTGAAAAATTTAAAAAGGTTGAATAATTTTTCCCACTAATTCCTTTTATGGAAATTTCAAATTAATTATTGTATGGATTTATCTTTTATTTTCACACTCTCCTTAACTTCATATTATTAAACTGTAAAGTACAATTTAATGTCCAAGGTTATGTAATGTAAAGCTGACATTTAATTGAATAAACATAATTTAGAACAAAATAAAGTCTACATATCATTGACTATGCTAGAAGCCTTTAATCTATGCCCTCGAAATTTACGCAAAAATACAAATTTCACAAATATTTTGAATTAATCGATTTATAGTGATGATGAAACAACTGATAAATAGACCGTGTGTTCGACGACTGAATACATTTAATCCTGTGCATATGACATGATATACTATACGTCATTATCCGTTTGAAAAGACAAATATAACCAATCTTATGGGTCTTGTTTAAAAACTTTTACAGAGATCTCTCCCCCCCCCCCTCCCTTTGAATTCATCCCTTTGTGCATTTTACGGACGACATCACAGGTAGGTTGGCCGTTACGGAATATCCGTTTCACAGATGATAGCGGATATGTTCCTAAGGTAACTACAATCCCATCCCCTTTTCCCGAATGTGACCTACCGATTTAGACTTATTACCGGGTTTCTACTAACATGAGCTACATGACGGGTGCCACATGTGGAAAAGGATCTGCTTACCCTTCCGGAGCACCTGACATCACTCTGAGTGTTTGGTGGGGTTCGTATTGCTCAGTCTTTAGTTTTCTGTGTTGTGTTTTGTGTACTATTGTTTGTCTGTTGGTCGTTTTCTTTTTTAGCCATGGTGTTGTCTATTTATTTTCGACATATGAGTTTGAAATCCCTTTTGGTATCTTTCGCCTCCCCTTTAGTTATGAATCAAAATATTAATAATATATATAAACATGAAACATGGCAAATTGGAGATGAATTGTGCTAGATTTTTGTGCTTTATTATATATTGGATATTTTAACCTTTACTGTTTAGTCCATTTTTATTATACTCATGACGTGGCTAGGTACTTATACATCCAGCCAATGTATTATTGTGCTATGGTTAATTTTGAATTTTTGTCTTTCATTTTTGCTTATGTACTTTTTCTATATGCTATTTTGTGTTTCTTTGTTGCGACAGTTGTTTTTTTTTAATAGTGATTAAGTTTATATTACAATGTTGACCATGTTGACTGCTGTACCCTAATTTTTGACGTGTTTACCTATTTTGTCAATATAATGGAATTCAATGCGACTGTCATACAGGTCAGAGGTTTAACTAGCTATAAAATTAGGTTTAATCCACTATTTTCTACATAAGAAAATGTCTGTACAAAGTCAGGAATATGACAGTTGTTTTCCATTCGTTTGATGTGTTTGCACTTTTGATTTTGCCATTTAATAAAGGACTTTCTGTCTTGCATTTCCCTTGGAATTCGGTATTTTTGTTATTTTACTTTTTGCTTAGGTTGGCGAGTTGGTATGTACATTGAATATTTGTTTGTTAGTTCATTTTGTGGGTTTTTATTATTGGTTTTGTCTGGTATTTTTAAACCGTTCAATTGAAATAAGATTTCCATAATTCGTACTAGTATAAAAAATAGACTATTTCCTTGCATCCTTTATGTGAAGTCACCTACCTTATGATATAAGACGTATATAATCACTAAGTATATACTGTATACTATAATCATCAATGAACTCATCAGCACGGTCTGTAATATGTAAAATGATTAGCAATATTCAAAAGCCTCAATCGAATTACTTAGTTTTATTTTAAAAATATTTTTATGATAATCGGTTATATAAACTTTGTGCTCCCAAATTATGAACTTTCCATTTCTATGTAGCAACATTTCAGCAGCGCCCGGATATGGAGTATATGTCTTCCACTTGATACGATATTCCAGGGCTTTTATTTCCTATCATGATTTCCTGGTTATAGGGTTCCTGCTCACAAGGAAGCTAGTAAACCAAAACTTCAAAGTGGTGAAGTTGATAACATCCCTTTCAACAATTTACGGACGCCATCACGAGTTGGTTGACAGTTATGGAATATCTGTTTCACAGATGACAACGAAAATGTTCCAATTGTCGTAACCACATTCAAGTCCTCTGTTCCCCTAATGTGACCTACTGATTAAGACTTCTCAGCGGAATGTACTTTCATGAGCAACACGACGGGTACGAAATGTGGAGCAGGATCTGCTCACCTTTCCAGAGTACCTGAGATCATCCCTGGTTTTTGGTGGATTTCGTGTTGTTCAGTCTTTAGATTTTCTTTTTTGTTCAATAATTTTAGTATGTCTCTCTCTGTCTCTCTCTCGCTCTTGTACTTTTAATCATTGGCAGTTCAGTATTGGTCAAGGGTGAACTCGGCTACTCTCCTGCCTGATCCGTCATTGTTATTACATAATTTAAAAGTTGGATAATTCATATTCGTCTATTTTACATCAAAATAAACGGGACGCCTAGTTAATTGAGTGTCTCCTACTCATTACATGCATGTAAATCTAAATTGTGTGCATCCAAAGCGATATACAAATTAATTGAACTTTGGCAGGAATGCCCAATTCTAAACCTGATGTTCAGTGGTTGTCGTTTGTTGATGTGGCTCATAAATGTTTCTCGTTACTCGTTTTTTATATAGATTGGACTGTTGATGTTCCCATTTGAATGGTTTTACACTAGTCATTTTTTGGGGCCCTTTATAGCTGGCTGTTCGTTGTGAACCAAGGCTTTGTGCTGAAGACCGTACTTTGACCTATAATGTTTGACTTTTACAAATTATGACTTGGATGACTCATTGGCACTCACACCACATCTTCTGATATCTATGTGACAGCAACGGATGTGTAAATACATAGAACTGTTAAGATCTATATGACCAATTAGACCTTCTTTACACCGCCTTAGCGGAAATGGTAGAAAAGATATGTTCACTTACGAGATGAAATGTTTCATTATATATGATATACATAACTCTATTATATTATGACATGTAAACTATTTAGCTTTAGCCCGTATTTCTTACGATTGTTAACATCTTTTTACTTCGCCCAATAGCTCCCCATAAACCAAATATTCCAGTAAGTACTTCCAGCATAAAAACCCCAATTAGAGAAAATACAATCGATTTCACTGTTGTTCCAAGGGGCATGCCGGCTACGTCTTGCATGTCCACAACTTTAATGACGTCTTCATCCAGAATATCATCGCCAACTTTGATGTAGATTGCCATCATTATAAATCCAAAAGACAGAGTCTGAAAAAAAACATTAATTGAGATTAAAAGGGGATGACTGATATCTCTCACAAAAGTTTAACGCCATCGCATAATGCTCGTGCTATAGTCTGAAATCAGGACCCTAGCTGGCCAATGATTGTCTATGTCTTATCTTATTAACATTCGTTATCTGAGGCATTTTGTCTTAATGGTAGATCTTTATACAAATAAGGAGATGTGGTGTGATTGCCAATGAGACAAGTATCCACCAAAGTTCAACTGAAGTGGATGTAAGTAATTATGGGCAACTGTACGGCCTTCAACAATGAGAAAAACCCATACCGTATAGTCGGCTATAAAAGGTCCCGACTCAAAAATTATGAAACGATTCAATTGAAAAACAAACGGCATAATTTATACATGTAACGAACCAATTTACAAAAAACAAATATGACAGACATGAAAAAACGACAACAACTGAATTACAGGCTCCTGACTTGGGATGGGCGGGCAAGGTTAAACATATTTGTGACCTCCCAACCCTCCCCCTTACCTGGAACAGTGGTGTAATAGCACAACATAAGAACAAACTATAAAAAAAACAGATGAAAAAAGCTTAACTCATCAGATCGATACAACGCAAAAAACATCTAACATCTAACCACAGACCGGATGTGGTAGGGTATGTATGCATCTCTAACAACAAAAAAAGACACAAAGTACAGATACGAGAGTACTCGCAGTTAATGACAGCTAGTTCAGAGCCAATAACAATTAACAAAAGAAATCATGCATCTAACCAGGTTATGTGGAGGGTTTGGTGCCCGCGCTTACATGTTTAACCTCGCTACATTCTGTATGTGCCTGTCCCAAGTCAGCAGCCTGTAATTCAGCGTTTCTGTGTATCATATTTGTTCATTATTTTGTACATAAATTAGGCCGTTAGTTTTCTCGTTTGAATTGTTTTACATTTGTCATTTCGGGGCCTTTTACAGCTGACTATGCGGTATGGTTTTGCTCGCTGTTGAAGGCCGTACGGTGACCAATAGTTGTTAATTTCTGTGTCATTTGGTCTCTTGTGGAGAGTTATCTGGTTGACAATTATACCACATCTTCTTACTTTTATATCTAAGACTAAAATATCAACCAGAACTCATCCAACATCCAATTGGTTTTAAATTAGTGAAAAGACGTCTTTGATTGTTTTTGTTTAAATCATTCTCATTGTTATAGATGCTGTACGGTTGCGGGATTGGCATGTTGTATATGCGTCTATCTATTGTTGAAGATGGGTGTAATTCAGTTCTATTTGTTAAAGGATTGCTGTCTCATTGACTTATCACCGATATCTCCATTTGGTTTTTGTTATATCGAAAACATTTCTTTGGCAATTTATAATTTCACTATAACAACAAATTCATATTTTGTCAGTTTTGTAATTGAACGTAGCTAAACTCGTTTTGTATAACGTGCTTGCACGCTTATTGCTTATCAGCTGCATTGTACATATGATTATTATTCACAAACATAAAATGAGTTGAAGCCATAATGAAGGAAAACATATAGGTAAAGATAAAATGCGGGTCTGGATGGGGTATGTTTTGCAAAGAATATATAATACAGAAAAATGGGCAAACAATAAATAATAGAGAAAGGGATTGTCAAATATAAAGAATATAGGATAATGGGCAACACAAAATTAATAAAGATTAGAAAATGACGTAAACAATTGAAGAATACAGAAGAACATTCCCACTCGATCCAGACCCTAAAAGATATAAATATGGTGATTCTGTTGTGGCCTGGACTGGTCATCATTTCATAAGTTAAGTTAGTTTTGTATTTAAATTTTCTTCTTACTTCTTCAAAATAAGATGGTGATGGGGAGTAACCTGCAATGGTATGATAAAAAACTAAAGACGACGAAAAGAAAAACAAGTTCACACAATTATTAAAAGAAACCTTTAGATGGAAAAATATCTTATCTTTTTTTTCTCTTATTTTATTCTATACTTCCAATGGGAAATGAATATACTCCTCAAATATGTAAAACTCCGTACAAGTATGACAGATATTCGAGTATCTGTATATAATATAGAATATTATTATTACAAAGCAGACCACCGACTCATATTCCACGGGTAAATGATTTACTTTAATGAACCATTTAAGATTATAAATGACTTTAAAAAGTATATTGACTTACCCTTGTAATTAAGGAAGCTGTCATGATAATATTAGCTGAAAGAGTAAAACGACCTCGTCTTACCCTCACCATTTTGAAATTGTCTAATATTGTTTTTTTTATACTATTGATTTACAACACGTACCCTGGTATGTGTCGATTAAAATATTTTTAAAACTTATATTACTTTAAAATGCATCGAGGCATTGTAAGTTTGAATAAAAGAATCGTTCAAAAAATGTTCCTTTAAATATTTATTTATTGGTTTTATATGATTGCATACGTATATAGTATAGACAAGGACTTCCTTGTTTATGTTATATAGGTAACCTGAAGAAATGACATGTGTCAAAATGAGTTTAAATTAAATTTGAATGTAGTTTTCTATATCTGAACATAATAAAAGTAAAATGGGTACTAATATCATAAAAAGGTCAGTCTTAAAAAAAAGAACCGATAACATTGGCGGATTCAGGGGTAGGTGTGTTCCGAGGGTTTGACCCCCTCCTTTTCCCTCCTTTTCAAAGTACGGCTTCATTCGTGACTGGATAGGAAATCAAAAATCATGAGTCGAAGAAAAACAGACATTACCATGATAAAAAAAGATGAACAGACGAAAAGACAAACAATTCTACCAATATTTTACGCAGAAAGCTAAAGACTGAATCCAATCAAAAACCGGGGGCGATCCTAACTGATCCGGAAGGGTTGACAGATCCAGTTCCATGTGTGGCAAATTGAACATGCTGACATATATAAAACATGTTTCTCTAATTCTATAGGCATTTTTTTCTTAATTTATATGCACTTTTTCTCTAATTCTATATGCATTTTTCTCTAATTATTTATGAAGAACGTTGAGAATGGAGACGGGGATTGTGTCCAAGAGACAACAACTCAACCAAAGAGCAGAAAAACAGCCGAAGGCCACCAATGGGTCTTCAACACAGCGAAAAATCCCACACTCTGAGGTGGGCGTTAGCTGGCCCCTAAACAAAAATGTTTATGCATTTTTAAAATTCTGTATGCATTTTCCTCTTATTCTATATGCATTTTTTTCTAATTCTATATGCATTTTTCTCAAATTCTATATGCATATTTCTATAATTCTGTATGCATTTAAACCATATTTGTCCCGTTTGGTAGTTTTTTGGGGTTTAACTTTACACCATATCCACTCGGATCATTGCACTCTGCCATCCCCATTAAAATCATAAGAGTATCGGATTTTACCATTTAACCCCGTTAACAACTATATTCGTCCACTCTCGATTATAGTTTAATAAATATTTAAACTTTTAAAGTTATTCTTGTCTTTGATTACGAGATATGGCCATGTTTGAAATATACATCAACATGTTTAAAACTATAGTACATAGATTATATAGGATAGTAAAGCATTATTTACTACCACATACATGTATCCCTAGTCCGAGGATTTGTATATTAATTCTTGCTTAGTCCAACATTTTTTTATAAGCAGCGTTGTTAATTTCTCAATGACTTAGATATATTATGATGTACAAAGGGAAAGGGGTCGCCGAGTTCGATAAAACTTGCCAATTTTGGTTAAAAAAAATAACAAAACAAAAACGAAATTGATGACGTCCTTATATTTGCTTCATTAATTCAAATCAAATTACACAATGTTGATTTAAAGTCGGCAAGATAAGTATCAGTACATGCAAAACGTTATAGTTCGCGTTGAGCTGTTGTAAACGATATGTTGCATGCAATAAAAAGCTTGTTATCAGATCGATGTATATTACGAACTAGCTTCGTAAATACTCATTTTGTTAGATTTGCAAATATCGGACGTTAACTTATCGTTCTCTCTGTTGTGTAATAGTTTTATTAAACTCTAGATGAGGGTCTCGATTGATGGGCCTTCATTGCTGTAGCCTTTAATTGTTACATTACGTCATCAATCAACTTACAACTTAGTACAAATGTTCCCTATAATATGATATTTCTAATTGTAATGCCAAATTAGAGTTTTTATCCTAATTTGACGGTCCGCTATAAATAGAAAATGATAGTGCGAGTGTGGCATCCGTGTACATTCTCTATATTTTTGGCAATTATTCTGTATTCTTTATTTTTGTCCAATTTTTCTCTATTCTATATTTTCGGTCCATTTTCTGTAGGTTTGGTCCATTTTCTGTGGGTTCCGCTCATTATTCTCCATAGGTCTGTAAACACCATGCAGACCCTCCTATAGGTATTATATGCCAGTAATTCATTCAGTCAATGTAAAGTTCTTTTGTTAACACCGTGTCTTATATTAACATGTTTTACAAATATGTTTATTATCGATTTATTCTAACATGTTATGTAACACAACTAATTTAAAGGTACTGAGAAACCTTATGTAAACTAAAGTACCTGTACACTAAACAAACTTCTTCTGAAAAATAAAATTAAATAAGTTAACCATACGACCTTCGATGATGGCCTTGATGACTAAAAAAACATAACGTTTCATAAGTTATAACCCTCACCGACCCGACCCACCCCAGACCATCAATGGACACAATGACATGACTAATGACGATTTTTTTCAAAGTTGAAATACAATGTATGAAATAAAGAACGGTCTTTTAAAACTCTTAGATTATCAACCAACAGTTTAGAGAGACTTTGAGTAGCACCATAACAAATCTTTCGTTTATTGACGTTAGACTCTGTTCTAGTCCTGTTTTAGTCATTTTCAGGTATCATTCCTTTCAACAAACATGGTGTATGTATTTGGAGCCATGAAAGCAACCATGATTTCTGTATATTTGTCTGATAAACACATATAACAGAACATGATTGTGCTGCTATTTCCATTTTTTTGTTCAACTGGTCTTATAGGATCTATTGTCCTTAAATGACGAATTTTATCGTTTTTTTTTCATTTTTAACTATTATTTTGAAAATTATAACAGACAGACAGAAAAGTTACACATCAAACATTATCAGCAAGACATGATTTACAAATAAGTCAGCATTGTCGAAATCGTCAGTAGACTCCTTGTTGAAATTGACAATGAGGGTCGGTTGAAAACAAAACTTTACGACAAAAGAGATGATTTCAGCTTCCCAATTGTGAACTTTCCATTTCTATGTAGCAACATTCCCGCAACGCCTGCATACGGAGTATATATCTCCCAACTGATACGATATTCCCGGGCGTGTATGTCCTATCATGATTTCTTTGATAGAGGGTTGCTGTTCACAAGGAAGCTACTAAATCAAGAGTTCCAAAAGGTCCCCATTCAAAAGCATCGATCGTAAAAAAAGGGGGTTCCAGCCCCCGGAACCCCCCTGGATCCGCCACTGGTTGGTCTTGTTCGCTGTTGTGCAAAAAGAAAAGGTAGGATGGGTGGCGACAGTTTTAACAATTGTTTTTACTAACCGACAGGATAACAAAGTCCTAATATCGAGACTACATCCGTTACGCCTGTTCGATTCCAGACTTCAATTTAGACACATGCTTATAATTATTTAGCACATTAAGTATCTAATATACAGTTTTTAGGTTCGTGCTCATGTAGGATAGAAGTAAAGGTACACATTAAATATGAAATAATGATTTACAACCTTGATTGCTTTTTACTTGCTGAACGTCTAGTTGCAAATAGTTCATACATATCATCAAGTAAGGACTATTGTTATATATATGTCTTAGGTCCTGTAAGACTGAGAATTATTTAGAGTCGATTTAGGCCGTAGCCCATATTTACATATAAAAATGCACACAGAGGCTATAAGAAATTGAAATTTGTTACTTTTTGCTCATTTCTATGCTAAGATGTCATGATACAAGAAGTTTAATTGCAAAAGGACTCTTGAATTCAACTTTTTTTTGCAGACAGTATGGTCTGATGACCAGTTTTTCACTTTTCAATGGAAAACTTGCATGTAGTTTTAGTCTCATTTGGCATATATTTGAACCACTTACTATCCTAAAGAAGAAAATTATGGTAGCATATGAAATGAATAGGGTGTACTGATCATTGTAAAGTGTTTTTTTTACAGATTTAGTGAAATATTTGTGATGTACTACAGATTTTATGTACAAAGCTCTTCACATTTCACATACATCAAACAGGCCGTTTAACCAGGGACATAAATACAAATATGCTGCACATTTCTTCTGTGATAATCTACTTTTCTCTAGATTCCAAGTTCACAAATGGTTCATTAAATTTGATTTAAGCATAGAAACACAAATATCAGGAACATAAAAAGCTGTCAGATTGAAAGTCAGCATGGCTCTTAGGCATAAAATGGAAACTGCTTTAAAATGCTTATTTTAGCCATATAATGCCAAAATGGGACATTTAAACAGAATTTCTGTCAAACAAAGATGTAAATGCTTTACTTTTATTGAGTTTGACAAATTGAAACCAGCAAACCATTCAGGAAAGTTGCCAAAGTACAGAATCTACATTTACGGAATTCCTCTCTTAGGCCCGAGAACACAGTTATTTCGTAGTGCATTTCTTTTAGACAATAAATTCAAATTAAAAAAATCGCACCTGCTCTATCTTAAAAAGATTTTTACAGTGTAATGTACTACTATTGATACAAATAATATCAAAATTATAGAAACTTCTACCAGTTCTAACTCAAAATATTGACAATTCTGTGTTAAGGGGGGCTAAAATTCAGTTTGACAGCTTCAGACATTCTAATTTTTGACCTTTTTTAACTGGACCAAATCACTACTTAACATAAAGATTCAGCACCCAAATTTTTTTAACATGTAATTTCATCCCCTTACTTAATATTTCATGCATAAAATATCAAGAAATAAATTGGGAAAGTGTATCAAAAAAAAAAGCTAGTTATACACTGTTCACACTAGGGACTATATTCGTAGACAACGAAAACCAAAGGACGATAACTGTGTCCTTGGACCATGAATGACATTGTGATTTCTCCAAAAGATTTATTTTTAATCACCGATGTTTAATACTTGTAATTAAATACCCAGCGTACCTTTATAGAATATGAACAATAATCAGTTATTATTTCATCTTTAAAAGAACTATATAGTGTACATTATTTATGTTTGAGCGAATGACATCCTTAAAAGGCGTTTAATATTCATGAATAAAACCAAGAACAATCATTTTTTTACTAAACTCAAATCAAATGCGCTAGTATTAATCATTTTTCAGTTCAGTTTCAAGTGCTCAGGAGGACAATTTTAGAGATAGTTGAATATGCTTAAATCACAAGAAATTAGAAGGGGACGGATAACTCTATCGGCTAATATTATCTTGACAGCTTCCTTAATTGCAAGAGTAAGTATAAGTTAAACATTGTTAACGGTCATTGTACTTTTTTTAAAGCTAACCATAACTAATCAGGAATATATAAGAAACTATGAAAACAAGTTAAGAAATAAATATAGATAAAGTGATTAACGCTAATGACACAACAATAAGACTACATTTAACAAAAAAACGCGTCTACAGCAAAAAAAAAAACTCTTCAATAAGATAAGAGTATTGATGCTTTATGTCGCCTTAATTTAGATACCTTATTTGAAATCATGTACTTTATTAATTGCCATGCGTCTTCATATAACCTTTTGCCTTTTATATAGTCAATATTCCATTTCATTTGTACAAGGAGAAGAGACAATCGGAATTCCAATAGACGTGCAGTGTGGCCCTCTTCTTGCGAACTGTTATTATATTGTAATGTGAATTCATACATGAGCTGGTCAAGAAATAAAATGGAAACTGAAATACAACTATATATAGAATGTCCTTTAACTAAATATTACATCTTATATTGACTGCACCGTGTCCAGGCAAGTGACCTTGCATAAAAGGATATCACAAATGTAGTTAAGACGGTCTCAACTATTTTATGATCGGTACAAAAATGAACTTGACAACAACAGAGATTATTTAGTTTTTTCGCTCTTTCCGTTCCAGCAGCGCATTCCTATATAGTATCAATTTATAATACGATATTGAAGCACTAGCATTTCCAATTATGATTTCTTCAGAAAAAGATTACTGTTTACCAGGAAGTAATTGCATTAACGGCTCCAAGGTGTAAAGTTGAAGTCATCCCCTAAAATAGTTTAGGCACGCAATTATGTTTTGGTTGACCGCTTTGAAAGATACGAGATATACGGTAATTTCTTCTTGTGCAGCTCTTGTTTGTTTAATTGCGCATAAAACTAATTATCCGTCTGGAATAAATCTACAACGGCAAAAAATTACATTGTTCTTATTTCTTTTTTAATTGTATTGTTAACCTCAAACGTAACAATTTCTTTGTTTACAGACGTTTAGCCTTGGTTTTGTAGCTATTTCAATTTACATTAAGATAGCGGAAAGTGTACTAGATGAAAATGTCATAAAAATCGTGAATATTTATGATATTTATGGAATGCCCATTGGGACAACTACGAAATGGGTTGTATTTTCCTTGATAGGTGCGTTTGTTCTGGACACAACATCTGGCGTGTTTGGTGTTTGTGGAGCTTTTTACAAGAAGCCTTACTTCCTTGTTGTGGTAAGATGTCTATTCATATATTCTATTTAATTTCAATTATTGTAAGTTGCCGAAAGCATTTAAATTCTTCGGTCAATTTTTTTTTTTAAAGACATACCTGATTTGGCACACAGATTTATAATCATATTGAATACACCAAATACTTAATTTTGTATTTTAATTTTATAAAGCATATTGTATTTGTGTACTTCAACACCTTTTTACTATTCACTGACGAAGGTACTCTAAACCGTAAATGTTAATACGATTCATATAGCCTTTTCTTACGATATATTTCTTTATAACTGCCTATCAGTCATTCTAAACACCAGACCGTATTGAATGTGATAAGTTAATATTAATAAAACTTAATATATTCGAATGCAAAATAGTATTATTCTCTTTTAAAGATTTATTGTGCATGTAAATGTAGGAAATTTGACTACATAATCAATACATATTTCTTTATAGACATTTGTTGTAAGTCTACAGAAAGGTTTTCATCAATTTCTCAAAATAAAAACATTTCACTTTATTTCAAGCTTATGACATTCGTAAATAATGTAACGCTATCTTTCCTACATTTTATATGCAATGCCTCTGATAGTCGGATCGTATTCTTTGTCATTTGGTCTGTCAATATAGTCCGTAAGGCTGTCTGTATCGAATTTGTTTTTGAACTTGATAAAAGTTAGTTTATAATTATGTTGCGGTCACAATAGTTTGAAATTTTTCACGAATGTTCATTTTGAAGTGATCTTTAAAATGTATATCAAATAAGATTTTGACTTCTATTTGCTGGTTCAGTAAATTCAGACACCAGATATTGTTAGAGAAACTTGACGTCCTACGAGTTAGAACTGCATACCCTCAAGTTGTGTTATTTTGTAACTATGAAAGTACCAAAAAAAATGACTAGTCCAACAATCCTTAGTGGTATGTAAGCCTGTCATATGCCTTTGTTTTTGTCATGATCTGTTAATTATAATTTAATAATACAATTGGGCCTGATCGTATGTGACCTTGATCTAATCCAACAGAAATCTACTTTAAGAATGTTTTTCTATTGCCATGACAAATTGGCTGATTGATGTGCTTTTTTCTCTTTTTCAAAAGAGAGGCGAAAGATACCTAAAGGACACTCAAAAGTCTAAAATAAACTGACAACGCAATTGCTAAAAAAGAAACAAGACAAACAAACAACCGTACATGAAACTCAGCCAAAAAACTAAAGACTGAGCCACACGAACCCCGCCACAAAACGGGGGTGATCTCGTGTGCTCCGGAAGGGTAGGCAGATCCTGCTCCACATGTGGCACCCGTCGTTTTGCTTATATTAGTACAAACAAGGTGATAAGTCTTATTCGGTAGGTCACATTCGGGGAAAAGGAAACGGAATTGTAGTTACGACAAATGAAACATATCCCTCGTCATCTTTGAAATGGATATTCTACAACGGTCAACCAACTTGTGATCGCACTAGTAAAACTTAGAAGGAATGATTTTAACTTCACCACTTGGAACTCTTGATTTAATTGCTTTCTTGTGAGCAGCAACCCTTTATCAAGGAAATCATGATAGGAAATACAAGCCCTGGGATATCGTATCAACTGGAAGATATATACTCCGTATGCAGGCGCTGCTGGAAATAGAAAGTTCACATTTGGAAAGCTGAAATCATCTTTCTTGTCGTAGAAAGTACCGAACTCCTAGGAAAACCCAAAACGGAAAGCCCGTAATCAAATGGCAAAATCAAAAGCTCAAACACATCAAACGAATGGATAATAACTGTCATATTCCTGATTTGGTACAGGTTTGTTTTCAGATTTCTAGATGTAAGTCAACATATCAGGCAGACTTAAGTGTATCTGTTGTTACCTTAATATCAAGTTCAATCGGATAAATACGTTCGACATAATCACCAAATTGTGAATTATGTAGTTAGAGAACATCATCTATATAGTGGAAAGTCAAGTTAAAGGATACTGCTAACTTCTTTTCTTTCTTCGTAAGAAGTTCCTGTATAAACTTACAAGGGAACAGTTCCCAATGTTTTCAATCTTAAGATGCAAGATTAGTTGTCTAAACTCTTAATCTAATAAATATATTCAAAATTGTGATATTTCAACTGAAATTGATTTCGTATAGTGATACATTTTTATTTCCTCCCCAGCCGTTTACACCTGTTCTACTGAAAGATAGATAGATAGTAACCTTATATAATACTTTATATTTCAGAATATTGTATTGAGTTCTGTCATGATAGTCATATATGCTGGATACATCACGCTCATTTCAATTGTATACTATAAGGTAACGATTTAAATTAATTTCCATGAGTATTGAAGCATATCATAAGAATCAAGCTAATGTAAATATAAGATATACATCATATGTGTACAACTGGCATAATATGATATAGTATACGTTAGGAATGATGTAAGGATACAACTATAAGTTAAGACCAATAGCAGTTGCCTCTTTTCTTCAAAAACATCAGTTGATATTACTTGAATACGAATACTAAAGTTCATGAGAAGATATAGCATTGATGTTGTTAAATGAGCAAGAATTAGCCAAAACATATATGGGTTACATTAAAAAAAATACAACAACAAAAAACGACACCGACCGTTCATCTTAAAAACATATTTGCAAAATTGAGAATAAAACAGAAAGAAACGAAACTATAATTTCCGCAGTATTTTCTTTCTCTTTCTAATCCGACACACATTCTACATTTTCAGAACCACTTATTTATATAAAAGATATAATTATCAGAGATATTAAGGAGGGTGGGATGATTCAAAATCAAAAATGCAATCGCTAAGTTTTGGGCATTGTTATGTTAATACTTGTACTTTCCCTTTTTTATATGGAAAACATTGTAAAATTACAATTTAAACATTCTTTGCTTTAGACGCTTAAATGATTTTTATTTTACAGAAGTCAGCGTTAAGTGAAGTACTTTATTCTTATGGTGAAACATACACCCATATTCTTCTTCAGAGTAATTACCAATATGATTACTTTCCGAGTTTTATGCGGAAGGTACGTTTTTTCATAAATTATCTGTAAACATGTTAACCTTCTATGTCAATGCTTCTTTTTGTAGTTCTATTGGAAGAATTAATGTTACAAAAATACAAAAAAATACAAAAAGAAAAAAAAGAAAAAAGAAACATTTAATCTTTTTAATTACATGTTAATGTTTTCCATCTGTTTTGTTTTAATATATCATTGCGTATGATAGAGAATTTTCATGGAAATGACATGCAGTCATACATTGTTTAGACTAAATCATTATTTTAAAAAAGCCCGTTCATTGTGATCATAACTAATGTAATACTGGGGAGACACGTATGTTATTGTCCTTAAAAATGAATATTTTCGCGTTGTATCTTTTGGGATATGCTGACTAAATCTTGAATCGCGCCGTTTTGAATGTGTACTTTCAAGTATGTATTAATTTAAATGATCAATCTATTTACAAATAGTTTCATGACCCGTATGCTTTCAGAGTTGCCAACATATATTATTGAAACTTGACTACATGAATGACAATGCTTTCTTAGAGTTCTTTTTCGACAACAAAAACACTAAGAAAGCATTTATAGGAGATCCCTGTCGTAAACACGATGACTATTGCTAAAAGAGAGGCGAATGTTACAAAACGGACATTCAAACTCATAATTCGATAATAAACTGATAACTCCATGTCTAAAAAAGAAAGTTATACAAGCAGACAAACAGACAAACAGACAAACAACAGTACACAACACACAACATCGAAAACTAAAGACTGAACAAGACAAACCCACCGAAAACTAGGAGTGATCTCAGATGCTCCGGAAAGGTTAGCAGATCCTGCTAATCAATATATCATGTTATCACTGTACAATTATACTGTTGGACAGATTAATTATGAGTATATTTCTTAACTGGTACACAAGTTGCTGATAATACATGGCCACTTACTTGAGCATGTTGAGATGTACAGTTTTGTTATCTAACTAAATTATATGATGTTTCTAACTTATTGTGTGGAATGTGTGTGAATTGGAAACCTATCTGTTTAAAGTGATAATTTATTATTGGAAATAAGTCAATATGCATGTTTCATTTTTCTTTTTTACTTTCTTTAATTTATCTTTTCTAAAACATAATCACATTTCGTATAATCTATTGATTAATAAATATAACATTAATTCGGTCGATCAACTCACAACCTTAGTTAAAGTCCGAACATGTAAACTTTGTGACTTAGCGACTCAGTTTACACATTAATAACTAATAAAAAAAAAATCTTAATCCTTATGAAATTAGCCCTATCATTTGTCATTTTGCTGATAGTCTCTATGAAGCAAAAGAGTTCACTTCAGAGTTATTACCAATATGATTACTTTCCGAGTTTTATGCGGAAGGTACGTTTTTTCATGAATTTCCTGTATACATGTTTACCTTCTATTTTAATGCTTCTGTTTGTAGTTCTATTGGAAGAATTAATGTTACACTACGGTATTAAAATACAAAAAAAGAAAAAAAATAAGAAAAGAAAGAAACATTTAATCTTTTTAATTGCATGTTAATGCTTTCCATTTGTTTTGTTTTCATGTATCATTGCGTATAATGGTGAAATTCTCATGGAGATGACATGCAGTCATACATTTGTTTGGACTAGAACATTATTTAAAAATACTTGAATTTAAAGATACATCTTAAACAAACACAGTTTTATGACTCGTATGCTTTCGAAGTTGCCGAAATATATTATTGAAACTTGACTACATGATTGATATTGCTCATTTAAGGTTTGTTTGACAAAAAAAACCACTGTTTAGATTTGAAAAATGATCCCTGTCGTAAACACGATGATTGCTGTCAAAAGAGAGCCGAATGATACAAAACTGACATTCAAACTCATAAGTCAAAAAAAAAACTGACAACGCCATGTCTAAAAAGGAATAAGACCAACAGACAAACAATAGTACACACAAAACAACATTGAAACTAAAGACTGAACAAGACGAACCCACCAAAAACTAGGGGGGATCTAAGATGCTCCTGAAGGGTAATCAGATCTAGGTAATCAATACATCATGTTATCACTGTACAATTATAATGTTGGACAGATTAATGATGAGTATATTTCTTAACTGGTACACTAGTTGCTGATAAAACATGGCCACATATTTGAGATGTACAGTTTAACTTTTTAACTTAATTAAATGATAATTTTTCTAACTTAATGTGTGGAAGGTGTGTGAATTGGATATTTCTCTATTCAAAGTGATAATTTATTATTGGAAATAAGTCAATTTGCATGTTTCATTTTTTTAAATTTATCTTTTCTGAGACATTTTCACATTTTGTATACTCTATTCATTAATAAATATAACATTTAATTCGGTCGATCAACTCCCAACCTGAGTTAAAGTCCGAACATGTAAACTTTGTTACTTAGCATCTCAGTTTACACATTAACAACTTATAAAAAAATGTGCTTGATCCTTATGATTCTCAACCTCATCGTTTGATATTTTTGCTGATGATCTCTATGAAGCAAAAGAGTTCACTTCGAATTTATGTTAAAATTTCTTACACAAGGTTTCGTTTTTTATTGGTATTTTGTGATGTATTTATTTTGTTGTTGTAAATGGTATTATCAATCTTTCCTTGCAAGTTTGTTAATGTCCTTCTCTTCGTTAGTGATTACAAAATTACTTTTAGAAATGTATCGTTACTGTGTTACGCGTCAAGCATTGACCTTTCCTGATCCAAACGTTGAGTTTACAACCGCACAGGCTGTCGTGATCCCAATATATTGAAAGTAGTATTAATCATTGGTGTTATCAACTATAAGTCTTTAGTCTTCAACACAGTTAAGCTTATCATTGAACTCTGTTCTTAACTGTTCCGCGGTAATTGGGACAATTCATACCATCGTAAAATAATACAATTACTCTCTTATTGAGTCTAACTGATATTTATATATCAGAATTGTCGTTGCAGTTCATAATGTATGTAATTATATCATATTTTAGTGGAATATGATTTTTTTTTATTGTTCCTTAGTGTATCCTGATCATTTCTATTTGTTATGTATTCTTATAATATCTATGATCATTTTTCAAAGATATTGGTATTTTGAAACATATGTTTGGCAGTTGGAACTTGCACATTCGTTTACATGCGAAGTAATTTCTCAAAATGGGCATTTTCTGCAAACGAAAATTAAAAAAAAAATTCACAACATCTATCGAAGCAGACAGAAAGGTTAACTACATTATAAAACATTAAAAACATGATATTTTAATGTAAACCTTTTCGTCATACCACCTGTACCAAATGCTTTTTGAAAAACAAAATACATATTTACAATATTTCAGGAAACATCTTTTGCAAAGAAACGACAGAAATAAAATGGCTTGTAAATCTAGATATGCGCTTAGGACACATACAATTTAGAAAGTATTATTGTCATTTTGATATTTTACCTGCAGTTTGTACCATTATTTTTACCTGTAGCTAGGATGTACAATAAATCATAGAACAAGCTGCTACGAGCAATATAACGAACAGTTATCAACATTTCTAGAGGCCTACTTGGGAATCATTTCAAGTTGTCTTATGTGTCAGGTATACAACAATTTATCTATAAGGCTCGAGTATAGCGAGATATATATATATAAATATATAAAGGTTTTCCATCTCTAGGCGTTCTAAATTTGAATGATAATTTACGATAAAGAAAACGAATTAAACGCATAATATTTAGGTAATTATAATACAACATACATTCTAGAAATGAAATGCGACTTCGCAATGTAAGCTCAGCACAGTTTTATTTTCTTTGCAGAATCAATAGTATCAGATATATAAACTGAGATATTAGCAGTTTGACAAATTTGGTGTTGATTAAAATCATCAGTTTTTTGGAGTCTTTTGAGAACAAAAATCCATTTAAAAACAATCCTGCACCCCAAGCATAGCACACATAGTATTATGATTACCAGTTGATGTTGGTGAGTGAAATAACAAATATTAAAAGGTACAATGAAGAAGTTAAATTCAATAAATGATGAACATATTACTCAACAATAGCGGCAAAATGATCAACTGGCACATTTACAAGCAAAGCCCTAACATACTCTGCAATAAAAAAATTCATTTTCAGATTATAATCTTAAATTATTCAACTAACCTATCAATATTAATATATATTTTAGATTATAGTAGTTGTCGCATCAGAATACACATACAGGAAATTTGAAGTAAAGGCCTCAAAAGAAAAGATCTCACGAAAACCTTATTATTTGCTACTGACAACTCAACATGGTCTCTGTCGGTCCTTATGTATCTTTGCAAGGAGAAGTTTTCAAAAGTAAGAACACGATTATCTAACCATCAGACCTTGCAGACAGATTATTGTACATTTATTCATATTGTTATAGTCAAACAATTCGGACATAAAGCTATTATAATGCAAGCACCCAATTATGCTAATATATCGGAAATTTTTTAAGAGATTGAATCTAGAATTGTTAAAAAAATGAAAATGTTTCTGATGACACTGCAGCACTTTTCAGATTATATATGCATTTTCATTTTAAATCCACCATTCTAAAGTTAATAAAGTTGTGATTTCAAAGAATTTCAAAATAATAGGGATTGTCTACCCCAGAAGTAGATTACCATACATGTATTTGGCGAAACCTTTCGAAAGTTTTGGTTCTCAGTGCTATTCAACGTCGTATTTTAATTGGCTTTTTTCATATTTTCATTACAAATGACTCCTTTTTTAGACGAAATTTGCGACTGACGTATACAATTTTAATACTGGTTTCTGTGATCAGAAAAAATACGGAACTCAAAGGAAAATTCAAAACGGAAAGTCCCTTATCAAATGGTAAAACCAAAAGCTCAAACACATCATACAAATGGAAAACAACTGTCATATTGCTGACTTGGTACAGGCATTTCCTTTTGTAAAACCTGGTTTTATAGCTTATCATGTAATTTTTGTGTACGGGACCAAAATATATCAATTGTTCCCCATTATTTTTTTGAAAATACAAAACCAAATGATTGTTTTCTTCTAATGTCAAAGGTATAAAGAATTAAGTGCATTGTTATCCTTGCTATTTGGATTAAAACCTTTTAATAATAAACAACTAAACATCTTGATCATTTTCAAATAACAGTATTTTACATTTAATTTAGGTCAGTCGCTACATCAGTTGCCGTTGTTATCAAGATCTGTCTTTTGGTAAGTAGATACATCTTATTTCGGTATAATTGATAAAATGTTAGCTATAAACACAATTCTGAAATCAAACTAAGCCCTTGAAAACATAAGCCTATATTAATGAACCTCTTATGAACCATTATTTAAGCCACGATTTGAATAAAAAAAAAAAACGCGTAATAAACATACTACATGAAACAGCAAAGCTATACCAGAAGAACAGAAAACACATTTAACAGTAAACAGACGGTATTTCCCAATTAACAAGTGTATACACCATATATCAACGTATTGCACCGTTAAAATATTCAGAGTTTTTCTCTTTTTTGTCATTTAAAATACAAAAATTAACAAAAAATGTATAAAAATTAAAAAAGAACAAAGAAGCAGTGGAGTAAATTCCTTAAAGACATTAAGCAAATGACACGACAAGATAACGAAATATCTATAAGAATATATATTGTCCGTTGACAAAGTAAATCATATAAATGCACTGATAAAAAAAGAATTCAAATGTATGCTGTGAAATTCAGATAATGTTTTATTTTATTTATTTGAGAAAGTTTAGTCTGTCTTAACCATGTTTATAACATTGCATTTGTATTTCCGCTTACCATTCTAATTTTGTGAAATACATATTTGTAATTGTGAACTGAAATTGCAAATAGAAAGATTTAACGGGATACTTTTTTTGTTGATTTCGTTACAAACGTTTTGTAATTATAATCAATAATAAACATTAATTGTATTATGACAATGTGTTCTTTTCACAGCTATCTGGTGTTGTAATGTTAATTTTGGGAATATACATTGTTCAGAATGATTTTATAACTAACAGCAAACTGAAAAATATCTTCTACAAATTGCAATTTTACAATTATTATTTCTATGATATAAAAATTGGTCTGACGGCTACCTGCATTGTCATAGGAACGTGTTCAATCTTGATTGGGGTCACTGGAATCGTTTCATCATGGAAAAAGTCGAGGAAATGGTTATGTGCTGTAAGTTTATTGTCTGTATAGCATATAATTAACACTGTCTTGCTCGTTTTCTTATGTATGTCTATATAAAATTAAAACATATCATTAACCTGTGGACAAAGAGGTTTGAAATTGATTCGTTTTCATGAAACAAAATTCATCAAAATTACTAGGCTTATAATGTAATACAACATACGTACATTGTATATGTTGTGTCGACTATTATATTATTTGTTTGTGCGTTTCTCTTTGATGAGTGTTCTTGCGTGTGCTGTATTTCTGTCACGTAGTGTTGTCATTTTAGCGATATTTTTTTAACATTGCCATAACAGAGGGAGGTTTGCCTATCCAGAAAACCAGATTCAACCCACCATTTTTTCTTAAAATGTCCTGTACTAAGTCAGGAATATGACAGTTGTTATCAAAAAGTTCGTTTCTATGTATGATGGCGTTTGTTTTTATTGCACTTCAGTTGTCCTCTTATAGTTGATGTGTTTCCCTCGGTTATAGTTTGTAACCCAGATTTGTTTTCTCTCAATCGATTAATGACTTTTGAACACCGGTATACTATTGTTGCCTTTATTTATCCACACACAACTCATTAGTGGCGCTTGCATCATAACAAAATGGAGGCCAAATCAATAAGAACATTTCGAAAAACATTGAAAAATGTTAATATCTAAAACGCGTTTGTTGTATTCAAATTATTTTTGTATTTGGTATTTAACATTGGTATGCATATTAAATTATCTTACATGGATGGATCGTTGTGTCTATACATGCTATAGTCCTTTTGTAAGTTGATTTTGTTTTGTGTATCAATCTGATGAGCCAAGTCCTATTGAACTGATTCTTATAGTTTGTAATTTTCTGCGTGTTACACCACTCTCCTAGGTTAGGGAAGAATTGAGTTTCGCTAATATGTTTAACCCCCGCCATATTATGCATGTGCCTGTCCCAAAATCAAGAGCCTGTTTTACAGTTGTTGTCGTTTGTTGCTGTATATGATATCTGTTTGTCCTTTATATTTTATTGCATGAATGCGGTCGTTGATTTTCTTGTTCGGATTGTCATATCAGGACCCTTTCTAGCTTGCGCTGTTGAATACGTTTTGCTTATTGTTGAAGATTCTGAGGTGACTTATAGTTGCTAACATAATTTTTGTCTTTGTGGTGGATAGTTGTTTCCTTTGAAATCATGCCACATCTTCTTATTTACATTATATTTACCAAATACTATGTTGGTCTTTTTTATTTTATTTTTTTTTTCAGAATGTTGTCATGTCAGCAGTATTGCAAGTTGTTCGAGTTTTGACATTCGTTTTAGGACTGGTTATATTTTTAAAAGTGAGAATATTTCCAGATCATTTTAGTTTAAGCGTTCAATTATAATTATCAATATTGTTAATGTTAGATATTGATGGCTTCGAAATACGAAAAATAGGTGTCGAAAATTAATTTTAAATTACTTTTTAGTATGTGAGGTTTTCAATCAAAAAAAGACGTCTGAATGATTCGCATTAACTCAAAATGGAGCGGGCTCCACATATGCAATAGGATAAGTGGCCCCTGCTATGAATGGATGACCATACAGATGATGACTCTCTTAAAAATGTAACGAAAGGAAATAAGACAAAAATGTTCAGAGCAGACGACTATTGAACGGTATTTCGGTACTACAATATAGCGATTACACCAATTTTTTTACACTTGTTTTCGGAAACCATCGGTTAGTAACGTATACAGTTATTCTCAATCAACAATTTTTACAATATGATTTGCTTCCTCAGTATTTTGATATTAAGTATGTCGTAGTGTTTAAAGGTATTTTTCTTTAAATCGTAGATATTGAGTAGCTTGGAGTATGAGCTGTCCATCCAGCAAGCTGGATACTATTACTCACTCAGCGTAAACGAAATAACAGAAGCATGGAATACGATGTTGCTAACAGTAAGTGTTTAATACCCATACTACAAATAATAAAAGTCAAGTACGTCATAATTATATGAAACCTTTTCTTTCATCTTTTTATTGGGAAAGTAGAAACATTTTATTATCATTTGTTTACCAGTATTTGAGAATTTCTCTGTATGTACGCATCACTTTCTTTTGAATGAATTGGTTTATCAAGATTTAAAGCTGGCTTTGATAAAATTCGATAGTCGGTTGATTTCAGTTCTTACACTAGATGCATATCAATTTAGTTGCAAATGGCGGTATGAGTAGTCAATGGATACCAAGCGGAAATTATTCATTAGTCGGAGTTAGAAAACAAACAAAGAATGAATCAAAAGAAACACCAAAAAGAGAAACTTTTACAGTAGTTTGATAATATCATACAAAAGACAACAGATAAAAGGCTGTGCAACATAAAAGTCACACAATACGTAAAGATCGCAAGTAGATATCGGAATAAAAGAGATGCAGAAGAAACCAAAGGTATAAAGTCGAAAACGAACTGATAACGCAAAGCAAAAAACTAAAAATGACAAAAAGATAAACAACAGCTCACAACACACCATAAAAACTAAAAACTGAGCAACACGAACCTCACCAAAAACCAGGGATGATCTCAGTTGCTCCAGAAGAGTACGCAGATCCTGATCCACACGGGGCACCCATCGTGTTGTTCGTGTAAGTACAAACCCGGTTATAAGTCTAGTTTAGTGGGTCTTAAAAAATTCATACGTGTTCCACGTAGTAATTATTATCTATAGGAGTATTTGTTAACTTATGCAGAACTACGAAATCAAGTATCCCTAAATACAATTTTTTGCCGATCCACGAAAAATTGATGCATACAAAAAAAATAAATGAAATCGTAGATAATAGCTAAACGTTAAGTTAAAAGCTGTGTATTGCTTCTTTTCATTTTTGTAGAAGTCTGTATTATCAGAACGAGAAGATGTGTACAGTTGGTTTCCGTCAGAATGTTTATTGTTTTTTTTTCAAAACAAACCACTAATCGAATATGTCGAATTTACATTTAAGCATATTGATAATGTCAGTTTTCACTGGCTCTTTGTTTGATTTAGAATGTTTTTTTGTAAATATTTCCAGTTGGAGTGTTGTGGTGTCAGAAGCTATGCAGACACATACGGAAACAGTTATGGAACACCTTTCTGTTGCAAAAATGCGAACGAACACATTCTTCATCCTGGAGGATTATATTCGAGTATAGATTACAACAATTTTGCGTACATTGGTGGATGTACCGGTTTTAAGACAACTGTATGTATTCGCACAATGTACTTAATACATTGTAGGTTTCAGTTCTTTTTATCTTGGATTAAATCAATATTTTTTAGCTCAAATCTGCATTGGATTTCATATGGCTTTTGTAAAGACTGAATTATGAAATATAAAAAGAGAGAAGATCAATTCAAGACAAAGAACATGATAAAATGATAATACCAGCTAAATATGATTTAGATGGAAACCGGGGGGAAATGTTCGTGAGGAGTCTTGTTAATTTGTAACAAAAATCGTTATGTATAAAGATTATGTCGTTAATCAAGGTAATACAAAAAAAAACATAGACGCGATGACTTATTTTTTTTTCTTCTTACAGACTTGCAGTTTTGTCATTGAATATCGTATAAAAGTATTTATGATAATATTTCTGACAACAGTCATGACGCAGATAGTACTTGAGGTATGAGAAACAACATTTGTTTCAGTGTAAAAATGTATTATTCATTCAGAAATTGTATTTTCAAATTATTAATGAAGAATAACGGGAAAAAAAAAATATCTTAAGTATAACAAAACTGTTATAACATCGACGATTTGTGCTTTTTTAGTTTTCTTGGTATACTTTATATCTTTTCATAATAATTCATATATCAATTACAAAAGTAAGGCGACTGTAGCTTACTGACTTTTAAATATCGCATAATCGATTAAAGAGAGACAATCACCGTTACAAACAAAGCGCGAGACAGTTGTGTGGACTCCATTAGGAGCACTAATGTGTACTTCTAGAGCATAAGTATTTCTCCTTGATTGCATGTGGCAAAGGCCATGCGAATCCGCAGTCATTAAAAAATCTCGATCGTGAAAAGGACAAAATTGGTACAATTACAGATCAGACAGCAATACCATCGAAAGATTGTGGTAGGAACAGCTTTTAACACCCCTAGTATACCATAATTGCAACTTATGTTTCATACTGTTGATACTGAGCTACTAGTGTTTGGTGTTGTTTCATATTGTAATGTCGGAAAAGCTATTGCACACTACTAACAAGGCTGCTAGCGAATTGTATGAATTTACCGCAGTCAATTCAAGGTTTTTATTAAAAGAAAATCACGAAATGTGATACGGTTATATGAAATGTATGAAGTGTTATTATTATATTCTGAATAATATAAAAGCATTCACAATAATCTTCTGATTGTTTTTCATAAGAGTAATTCTCTTTTGAGTATAAATTTGTAGTAGTCTGTACTATCCTTTCACTCTATATATTTTCAGTGTTTAGGGTTTGCTTATGTTAACAAGGAATTTCAGAAATTTCTACCTTCAGTTAAAGCATCAGAGAACAGGGTAACTGATAACAACATATTCAAGGTCATTTTCTGCAGCTCAGGATCAGCTATTAAGAATAACTGGAAAAGGTAAAATATAACTTATCAAAAGGACATTATATCATACCATACCAGCTACCAGCACCTAACCGTTCATGGAAATCATACGTACAACCAAAGACGAACAACACATGGTCCATATAAGTTGACCTTTGCCTGGTAACGCAAATAAACTTGTTTTACGTGATAGAATATCCCCACCAACTCCCTCATCCAGGGACTACCTCTATTGTATGTCGTAAAATATAGAACGGCAACTAACTTGACCGTGGAAATAAAAGGCGGTATATACTTCGGAAAGAATGTTAACACGTGTTGCCCCTTGAATTAAAAAAAAAAAACAACAATAGAGTATATCATATGATATGTTTTTTATACCAAACCCGAATCAATTCAAAACATTAATACAAGCTAGCTATAAAACTAGGTTCAATGCACCATTTGCTACATAAGGACCAAGTCAGGAATATGACAGTTGCTTTCCATTCGTCTTGTGTTTTTGAGTTTTTGATAAGGGACTTTCCGTTTTTAATTTTCCTTGGAGTTCGGTATTTTTGTTGTTTTACTTTTTCAATCTAAAAAAGTCGAAGGATCATATTCGTTGATAGTTGATACCGAGTGTGAAATTAAAAAAAAAATAAATAACATTTTATATATAACTCAAGTTGATGTTTTTTTTCACGTTTTGTTTTTCTTTGTTGAAATAGATATAGTCATTAATATTATAACCCAATGTTGACCGATGTACTCTTATTTTTGACATTTTTACCTATTATATTTGTTTGTGTAGTTCACAAATTGATGTCAATTTAATGGAATTCTGTGTGGCTGTCATACAAGTGATAGGCTTTATTAGCTATAAAACCAGGTTTATTCCACCAGCTTCTACAAAGGAAATGCCTGTACGAAGTTTTCCATTCGTTTGACGTGTTTGAGCTTTTGATTTTGTTATTTCATAAAGGATTTTCCGTTTTGAATTTTCCTTGGAGTTCGGTATTTTTACTATTTTACTTTTTGTTTCTAAAAGATATCAATATGCATTTAAAGGATCGTACACATGCGACGACATAACGACATAATGAAAACAATGTAGTGCAATTATTCATGGTGTTGTTCCTTTAAATAATTTTGAAAATTGTGAAAAGCTTTACTTATAAGACTAATACATATATACTGCACACAAAAAAGACTTTGTAAAATACATTTTGTAGCAAAAATTCTTTTAGGGGTAAAACCTAGACACAAATACTAATATTGGCAAATGGATTTCGAAACGAGGTTACTCAGAGTACTTGCAGTTTTGTACAAAATTATAAAAGGTTGATGTCTTAATCGTGGTAATGCAAGTTTGCAAGAAACTATAAATGGTAATATCCGTCAGACTAATATCTAAGGAGCATCTGCTTTATACCATTCATAGTTTTATACTTTTAATTTTTGAATTCATTGGGCCAAAATATTGGTCTGATTATATCTTCTCCTGTGTTATCAAAGTAACAGATATCAGTTGACATGATTGGCTAATAAGAATTAGCTTTAAAGGTAATCCGGACATGACCGCTTTTTCACATCTATTCAGATCTTACACGATTTCAAGGGGCTACACATTGACTTACAACTCAAATTGGAAATAAATAACAACATTAATTCAGCTCATAACATTAAACACAAAAAACTTGTATAGCAACTTGCAACCAAGCACAACCAATGGACAACAGGTTCCGAGTTTAGCTGCATACAGATGTTTGAAACAAATCTCCCCATCCATTAAACGATGGTGTAACAATATACTGTTATAATCATTTATTATCTCAGCAACACACACACACATATTACAACATCACAAAATGCAAAAAGTACCAATCTTATCTAAGAGTATTCGATGAACTGAAGGCTAGTTTCATATTGAGTTTGAACTGATCATGCTGATCATTACCAAGTTTTCATATATCTGTCTATAAAAGACGTTTTTGAAGAAAAGTTTCGTGTATCGCAATAAATTAATGTATACTGTGTACAACTTGATAAAAGAAAACAAGTGTTAAACTTTGATATTAAATCAGTTAAAACAAAATCATGTATATTGTAAAAAATATAACACCACTTACCAAAATAGTGAGATCACAGAAAAGAATAAAATAAGAGCCTTTATTTTGCCACTGAAAATGAATAAAAAAGTGAACTAATTCAAACCTTTCATATCTGTTAATTGTATTGATAAATAATCAGGAAAATATTATCTTGACACTTAAACACATTCACATCTTCGTAAACAAATGTTGGTAGCATCTTATCGAATTGTGTTAAGCAGTTGCTCATATCTAAATATGAATGATAGATTTCAAAAAAAGGATAGTATGGGAGTTTTTCAATGGAATTAAGACGTTGAAAGCTTCGATAACAGTATGCAAGACACAATTCGAATATATGAATACCGATGTTCATTATACTAATTCAAAAGCCTGGTGGTAGGGTTAACATACGTCCTCCATTAAAACCGCATGAAATATTTATCGTCAGTAGTAATCGAAATAAAAATATTTGCATATTAAAAGTTAGAGCATTAATTTCATGCCAATGAAGATGTTTAAACCATCAAGGAAATCTACTGCATTTGGAAATCAGCAAATGTTTTAACTGATTTAACAACTATTTATATAGTTAGTATTTTTGATACAAGAAAAAACACAACACAAAGTCTATTTTTTTTTTTTTTTTTCTATACAAACCTCCATGATTTTATTTCCTTTTCAGATCAAAGAGTAGTCGTGTGGTATTTATTTCTGTTTTAGTCTGTTTTGTAAGTAAGCCAGATACAAAAGTTATGACAAATTATTACATAAGTAAATTTCCATTAGCACCAATAATACAAAGCGCGCAAAGATAAACCAGAAATCGTGAAAACAAAGACAACAAAGAAAGCACATGTTTTGTACCCGTCATCACCATACACTCAATATGAATAATTGATGATTGATGAATGAATGTTTATCGCCACTTTCATGATAATTGGCTATATCGTAACGGTAAATTTTTATTGGCAGAGAAAGCCGGAGGACCCTGAGAGAACCATATAACTTCGGCAGGAAAACTTACATTCCAAGTCAACAGAAATTAGAGTCGAACGTACCTGTTACGTGTGTAGATTCTAACTTACAGCCTCTATGTAGACTGGGTAGTAGATGAACTTCTCAGACCACTCGGCCAACGCGGCTCCTTTAAATACAGAATTACAAAATATAAACAAGAACGCACATCGTACTAATCAGGTTTATTATTGACAATTTCAGAAACACATTTCTCTAACAAGAATTTCAATTGACAAGCAAAGTCAATTATATTGAAACACTATTTTCTTCATGATATTTTACAATGTTAAAATTTATTTCTTCATAATATTTTACAATATTAAAATCTATTTCTTCATGAGATTTTACAAAGTTGCAATGTATTTCCTTATGATATTTTTACAATATTTAAAAATTTGAAAGTGTTTCTGATGAAAATAAATCCAGAACAATTCTTGCTAGAATAACACCCGATTGAGAAAGTGTATATGCATTTCTTCAAGATATTTTTAGAGTCTTACAAAACCTTTATCTGATGTCTGATGCTCGTTTACGGGACGTATTAAAGCATATCGTTGTCCGTCTACCCATCCTTCTGTCCGTCCGTCTGTCGTCAACATGTCGGACAATAACTAAAAAACGCTTTGACCATTTTTCATGAAACTTTGGTGAATTTTTATATCTATTGACGTAAGCTCCCTTTCGATTTTTATAAAGTTTAAATTTAACGTTTCTGAGTTATGGGATTATATTCATAAAATGAGGGGGGGTTTACACTTTTCGGATATTAACTCAAAAATGCATTTAGCAGTTTTCATAAAACTTTGATGACTGATTTTTATCTATTAAAATAAACTCTCTTTATTTTTTATTTAATAAATTTCTGATATGACATTGCGGAGTAATACAACTTTATTCGTTGAAAAAGCGACGGGCGTATCATGCGCTCATGGCGCAGCTCTCTATTGTATTCCTGTCATTCAATTTTGCGTGTGTGCTTTGTCTATGAAGTGTATGCCATTTTGTTTTTCTTTGTTGGCTTAGTTGTTTGTTTTTATAATAATTAAAATTATAGCACACTGTTGATTGCAGTACCCAAATTTTGACATGTTTACCTATTATGTCTGTTTGTTTTGCTTACACATTATGGACAATATAATGGAATTTTATTCGACTGTCATACAAGTGAGAGGTTTAGCTACCTATAGACCCAGTTCAATCCTTCATTTTCTATAAGGAAATGCCTGTACCAAGTCAGGAATATGAGAGTTATTTTCCATTCGTTTGATGTTTTTGAGCTTTTGACTCTTGCCATTTGACTATGTTTGATAAGGCATTTTCCGTTTCAATTTTCCGTGGAGTTCGGTATTTTTGTTATTTTACTTTTTACTTTACTCGATGTAGGTGTCGATTTTGCAAATCCCGACACTTTTTGGTGATGATTTTAAATTGGAAAATACAACCACTTGAAATGTCTTAAATTCCGAAAATGTAAGTAACGGACATTTGGATAAATTTTGAATCGATTGTCGTTGTGTTGCTGTCTTATTGAGGAACTCAAGATAATTCATTTTATTCATACGTGATGCTTTGCTTTAGGGATTAGGCGATACATATACGGTTGGTTCATACACTTGTAGTTCTTTCTCTTTCATGTATAAGCTTATATAACAATATTTAGTCTATTTTACAGGTTAGCAGCTTATTGATGCTGATACTGATAGTATGCCTTCGATACGATGCTGTGTTCGGTAACAAAGACATAAATGATCATCTTTTTGAAGATGTTTATTTTGAGAATGTGTCTTTAAAGGACATTTTGTATTACTTTATTATAATAACCACAACGTATTCAGTCGCTTTGGGGTGTATGTCCTCCTTTGGACTGGCAGTTATATTGACAGCGAATAAACGACGTTTTAAGCTTTTGATATCGGTAAGATCATTGTGTGATATAATGAAAACAAACACATACATACAACTAAAAGTATCAGTTCAACGAATGCATTTTATTGATACATACGATGACAAGTTGCAGGAAAGGGCTGCTGACGCTGATCTAAAACACTGAACATGTGTAACAGTATATCAACCTTTAAAAGAACTGCATTAATTCATAATTTATACACCAATATACATATTGTACTGTGTTACAAATTCTACAAATATTCAAAACTAAACGTTTCATCAAAAGCAATATTACATAAAGCTGCCTTACACAATACGATATTCTTGTCTAGATAGGCATATAATGACCTACAATATGCATCAAATGGTTCACAAGACAAACGTATACGTTTCAGATAATTTAAAGGTACGAATGCAACGTTATTTTCAAGTGGAATAGATCAAATCGAATAAATTATATAAACGGAAATGGGGTTTACGTCATTGATAATTCACACCTTAACCAAACAACATCTATAATTCAATATAGAGTCTACAACAATGCATAAACATCGCCGAATACTGTATTGTCCAGAGGTATACAAGCATTATAAATTTTACAAAGAGAATGTGTACTATGATACAACACCGTTTATAACGTTCATTTTTTTACAACATTTTAGGATATATTTTTAGCATCAATTCTGATAAACTTTTTTCTTCACAAAAAAATTAAGTAATGGTATGTATAATTTACTTTTCAGTTTGAAGTATCCCTAATACTTCTAGCCTTATGCAGTATTGTCATCTTAGTCGTCAGTGGACTTTGGACATCATGGGTAATGATAAGATTTTGTAATTTAATCTAAATGCTGATGTGGTTTGCACTTTACATTCTCAGTTGTTATTTCAAAACGTTGTTAAAAACACTGAGGTTCAATTGCCCTCAAGCAAAGTTGACTGTAGAAAGAGTACGCTTTTCACATAAGGCTCATTTCCGTATATACAGTTCTTCATAAATTCAACATTTTCAGATGTCTTTCGATTTTTTTAGTTTGAGTGTTTCTGATGGAAGTAAATCCAGAAGAATTCTTGCCAGACTAACACTCGATCGAGAAAGTATATAGATATAAGAAGATGTGGTACGAGTGCCAATGAGACAATTCTCCATCCAAGTCACAATTTATAAAAGTAAACCATTATAGGTCAAAGTATACACTTACTTCAGAAGCACTAAATTTATAAAGTATTATTTTCATTTAGTCGATTAATACCGCTGCTGATCGATTGTGAGTCCTGAATGGTATCATCATCTAAGTGGTCGATTTTAGATACTGACTACTAATATGCTATTTTTCTTAAATTCTCCGTTTAATGATTGAGAAAATATCTATAGATTTTGATAGAAACTCCATTATGCAAAGTTGACCTTAGATTGATTTGGTTAATATTTTATGTTTTGGTCATAGCGATTTACGTATTAAAGCGCTGAAGTAAACTTTGAAATTGGCATTTATTTTCGTTTAAATGCATTAAAGGTTTTTGGACCAATCAAGTGTATATATTGTAGTTTCTGATAAAAGTAAACCTAGAAAAGTTCCTTCAAGCACAACACTCGATTGAGAAAATATCCATCAACCTAAGACGCACTATATTTATAAAATGTTATTTTCATTTGATAGCACTTGATGAATACTTAGTGTAATTTTTGTATTTTTATCTCATAATTTTGCAATATATTTACGAAATATACAAAATGTGCTTTGGTCAACATTTTCGTAGTTTTTTTCGGGGTGTTAACGTGTTCACCAAAGCACATTTTGTATTGTTAAAATGTGTGCATGATCAACACTTTTACATCCAAATGAATTTCGAATAGAAGCATGCATTTATTATAATTACATTTTTAGGCTAATAAGACCATGAAACAATTGTTGTATCGAGTTTTTATTTTATTTATCTGACTGTGCACTTTTTTGTAGAAGCACTTGTCATCACCAATGTTACATTTCATTTTGATATAAAGATTGTTTTTTTTTTAATGACGCCCGATTATTGTTAACCAATCAAACTAACGAATTCTCGTGAAACATACATGTCATGTAATTATTAACAAATGTTCTTTCTGTTTTAGATAATGTCATCAGCATCAGAAAAACTATCTAATGACATGGCATACTATTACAAATCAGATACTTCTTGGGATCATGGTAAATCTCTGGCGTGGAACACACTTTATGTTAAGGTATGTACTAGAATTAACAGTTCCAGTCGTACTAGACAAGATGCTTATTTTGACAATTGATGTCTATTGACTGATGTCAAGATCAAAATATTTGTATATCAAAGCCCAATGCAGTCATTGGAGAGCTGAAGGAACAAAAAAGGTCTTACTTTTTTCCAATCCATATCAATATTATCTAAGTACTAAATACTGGGTTGGTGATACCTTTTGTGTCTTATATTTAACCCGCACAAATTAACATTATCTGCACTAGGTTTACTGCATCAAGTACGCATTTAGAATCATTTCATATAATAGAAAAGAAAAGTAACTTATTTATAAGATATACAAGCATTACCTAGTGCTAAATTATTTAAAATATTGCATGTTACGCTACAAACTGCTCAGAGTCTGAAAAAGAACATATTATGTGCAGTTTGCATGCATCTGGAATAAAATAAAAGAGAAACAAAAGTAGAGCATACTAAATCCTCTAAAATTCAAATCTCTTGTCATAAGATAAGACCCCTTGCTGAATATTAATAAGTTAATAAACTGTTGTTTTCTTTACAATTGAATAAAGAATAAAATAATAATAAACATATATAAGTATCCTAATGCCTCTACCTACAAAACTGAATTGACAACGACGTATAGTGAAGTTATAGTTATTTTTTTCATTTTTGTTGTCGATGATTCATTAGTGATACCTAAAAGTATACATCTCTGTCTTGGGTTTGCCGAGTGCTGTAATCATCATTCAAGCCTTTATCAAGCTTCAATTTTAACAATTTAATGTTCATAAAATTAAATTTCTTGTTTTTTCTTTCATTCTTGATTTAAGAATACAATTTTGTCATATTTGGCAGAAAGGCGGAAGATATCAACATTCTATTGAAACTCATAAGACAAAAGCAAACTGACACAACGCCATGGCAAAACGATAAAGGACCAAAAGACTAACACGAATCATATTTCATTTATAGTTAAAGCCTAACCATGAATTTATGAAAAAATGGCATCAGAAAGCTTGATTTGATATACAAGAATTTCACTTCAAGTCAATTATAATTTTTGTTAGTGAAATGTCTTTCTGATATTTTCAATAATAGACATGTTGAGTATTATATGTGTATTTTTATATAAAGATTTGCCTTCGGGTTTATATGATCCGTTCATCCTATTTTGAGTTAGACATGTTTATATTTTTTCGTTTGGGCTTGTATTATATTTGCCTTCGGGTTTATATGATCCGTCCATCCTATTTTGAGTTAGACATGTTTATATTTTTTCGTTTGGGCTTGTATTATATTTGCCTTCGGGTTTATATGATCCGTCCATCCTATGTTGACTCCTCAAAAATCAATTGTCTATTCTAAATTGAGGTAATTTTTATGGCTTTCCAAATACCGTTTCGATTCCTAACTTCACTGAAGAGACATTAATTGTCGAAATCAGGATATGGTGTACAAAAACCTTTCACCTTTTGTTTGCGGTATACCATCTTTTCCGCAAGTTTATTGTTTTATGTTTAATATTAAATTGATAATTAAGATCCATTTATTACATCGGTTATCCGTTTATTAAGCAATCGCTATTGGCAGTCAGCAGGGTTTAAGAACATTTGTTGTTAGACCTGTTAGTCAAATGCGTTTTGTTAAAATATACTTTTTCACTTTTATGGTCTTTTGGAAAATGTTGTTTGTGCTGTAGTTAGACCCCTCTAACAAGAAATTTGTTTTGCATGCACAAGTATAAAAATTGCGGTTTTTATCCAACGCAATCATAGGTCTGAACATTGATTTCAATTGAGACATGTTTGTATATAAATATATATACATATTTAGAATATAAGGATTGCGATTGTAATTGAAACAACTTTTGTAAGAACAATCCTGAAAATTCGTGTAAGTTGTGTGTTCCTAATACATTGTGTAATATGTAAAAATCAAGATTATGGTTTTTCGTCCAGTGAGCTTTGGCACAGTTTTTGATTAACAATACCCTTAAACCTTGTTATTGATTGGGTAAAACAATGTTAATTTTATTTGCAATTTTGTTTCTATCAGAGCTTAATATTATGTTCTAGAATAAATGTTGTGGAGTTGGAGCTGCTGGTTGGAGTTCCTTCCAGTCAACCACATGGTGGACTTCGCCTAACCAGAATGGCAAATCAATTCCAGATTACTGTTGTAAAAGCGAAACAAGAGTGTACCCATACGAATCAAAGAGTACCAACGCTTGTACAACTTTATTAACAAATACTTTGCACCACTCCGATGTAAGTGTGTTCAATGTTTATATGTAAGAATAAATAAAGGCAACAGTAGTATACCGCTATTCGAAATTCATCAATCGATTGAGAGAAAAACAAATCCGGGTTACAAACTAAAACTGAGAGAAACATCAAATATAAGCGGAGAGTAACGACACAACAGAAACTCAACAATAAAATGCAACACATACAGAATCGAACTATAATATAACAATGGCAATTTTCCTGACTTTATACAGGACATTTTTAGAAAAAATGGTGGGTTGAACCTGGTTTTGTGGCTAGCCACACCTTATAAGATAGCAATGCATTGAACAGGAATAAACAACTCATCATGAGTATCTGTATTTTTGTAGGGATATGGTGTTCAAACTTATATTGTTGGTGTATGGTAATTTGAACTTTATTCACGTGTCATTATTTTTCTGTTTGCTGAAGGGATAACCGTCCTTCTTGTCCTATTACTTTTAATTGACCGGAGTGTTCCTTCTAAATGTAACGATTAAACACGTTTTCATAATCATTTATTTTATAACATAATAAATATCAAAACAGATCCCTTAATTGAATAAAAATTGTAGCTTTCTTGTTTTGAATAGAATACTTCTTTTCGGAAACAATTTCATTTGGTTTTGCCAAGAGAATCGTACTTAGTGTCGTGACTAATATGATTCAGAAGATGTAGCTGTGAGCCAGGCCTGGGGGCCATTACATTGCAATGTAATGCATTACATTACAATTACAATTACAATTACATTTGGTCTCACATGTAATTCATTACATTACAATTACTTTGCCTGTGTAATGCATTACATTACACATTACTTTTTCAAACTAAAAACATTTCAAAAACAGATTTTTAAAAAAAAATGATAAATATTACCGGGGTATATGTACATATATATATACAGTGTTAGTGACATAGACTTCAAATACTGGTTAATTAACATGTCCATTGCAATTTATCTTTAATTTCTAGCACTTCTCTGTGTTTTCTCTGAAAAATAAATAAATTATCATATAAATTGTTTCTTACATTGATCTCTTAATCATTAAGACATCATCGAGGGATTTCAAAGGGATTTGATAAATGTGTCATTAAAGGATTATCTTGTTCATGTTGTTAAATGCTTAAGGGCTCTGTGAGGACAAACATAAGTTGAGAAGATTTTGTTGCAATAAAAACATTTTGATATTAATTAGGTGAATAACACAGAAAGGACCCAAACCACAGTTTGGTGTAAAAATATTGATTGACATATTCAATCTTTCATTGAAATACATGTAAGGTGTGTATAGAAATAGGAAAATTTCATCTTCATGTTTTTTCCATTCTTCATGGACCACCAAACACCAAAATATTCCCAATATCATTTTATACAAATATCAGAATCCAAGATCAAGACTTGATAATGTTCACCCCCCATCCAGTGTCAGGTGGTAAATCAAATTGGTCTAAAATATTATTTTAATGTAGTCCTTGCAAAATCTCATTCAACAATGACAAGAAAATGCAAATTAAGAATACAATTCTTACTAACAACAGCTCACTTCTTTCATTTGCTGGATTAAAGTTTTGTTAGTCTAGGGGATTTAGTTATGGATCCTTGAAAAAAGTTTTAAGGGCAAACTATCTATAATGATTTAATACAGTAATTAACTGTGACAATAATTTTATTCAATAGTTTCTTTTGCTTTTGTTAATATCTTATTTTTATTTTACTATATTCTTCAATTTTATGTGTTTTACCAATTTGTAATGAAAAGTAATGTACAGAAATGGAGGCATTACATTGATTTTTAACTAAAGTAATCATTACATTACATGTAATTGCAATGCAGAAAATACATCAAAAAAATGTAGTATTACAATGCATTACAATTACAAATTACCATTACCCCAGGCCTGCCGTGAACTACATGATTTTTTTGTTTTTATTCAAAAATTAAAGATTTTTAATTGAATTATGAACAAAGTTCCCAAATCTATGGTGTTATATTATAAAAAAAAAATAGAGCTGGAAATGATGAATCGATACTATGACACTGAACATCCGTCATTCGTATTTTAGTGATTAGTATTATATTAAAACAACATTGGCCATATGTTAGTTATCAAAGACAGTAAATAGTTAAGTGTTGCCACCAAATTGCTGTAAAATCTAACTGAACATTTTTAACATTTAAACCTAAATAAGTAAAACAGTCTTATTTAGATAAACTGTGGATTCATTATTTTTAGGTGGATACCAAAGTTCGTGGATTTGGTGGGTTATAGGTAAACCAGGAATTTGAATATTCAACGAATTTCCATTTCTTTTATAGGCTGACTTTGGCTAAACCATGAAATCAAATATCCACAAAAATGCAAGTTTTTCTCAATTTATGATATTAGTACCAAAGAACATAAATGAATCCACAGTAACTGTACGATAATTTTGTGAATTTAAAGTGCGAGACATGCGATCCCATTTGCATCATATTTTTTTGAAATACATATAACAGATAGTTGAATTATATTTTGCTTCAAGATTTCTCTTGGTCTGTTTTATACATTAATGTATGATATAAAAATCTATAAATACCTAAGAATCATACAGTTGTTCATCTTCGTGAGGTTTAGTTCTATGATTTATTTGTTATTAAACACTTTTTATTTGTTTAGGGTTGTGACACAGCCTTAAAAACCCGACTAAGCGCGTACATGATTGTATTCTTTGTGGCAATTTCAATTGTCATCATTATGCAGGTGAGTATAATGTCTGCTTAAATGCGTGTTTGTGTGTTTGCTTCTGGTATATAAAAATCTGATATTAACACTTATATGACACTTGTTTATAAATTACTAGTTCATAGATGAAGATCTGTAGAAGGGATCATGACAAGATATATTGCAAGATTTCAAAACTGAAATACAGCGACTATAGTTCCAGTCACTGTTTTACAAATGTGTTCGAAGAATACCATCAAATTCTTTGGCATATTTTATTCGAAAAAGAGAACAAGGGGGAATTGAATATGATGTCTTGTTTGTATGGTGACTCTAAAGTTATAAGTTTTTCAATGTCGGACAGACATCGAAACTGCAAAGTCTGTTGAATGAAATCAAACGAGGGGTATATGTCTCTGAAACAACTACAAACATAGCCAGATGTACTAACATGACTTTCAGCAAAAGACAAATTTCTAAACGATAAACCAAGCATACATTGAACAATTGAACAGATACAAAAAAAACTATCATCAACACAAAGTTCTTCAAGTCACACAAAAAAAAAAATATGACAAACGACAACCACTGTTGAAATTACCGATTTGGGACAGGCGTATTGATGAGTTGCCGAAACATTTTTTGTATGATTTTAATCATTCCCTTTTACTCACGATTTGTGGACAAACAAAACGTTGCATGCATGTGTTAGTCACATGAATTACAAAATAAGCGTCACTGGTTGGTTCGATAGAGTAAGCGTCTTCTGCTTAACAAAGCTGACGTGGTTTAATTGCTAATCATACAGATGGGAAAAACATCAACAAGAGAATAAAGAAGACCTTTGTGTCACTAAGCATGTTATGTATTTCTTCAGAGCATTTTTATATATGTAAATTACGTTTTTGCATGATCTTTTTGATCGGAAAGACAAAATACTGATAAAAATATCCCAAGGTCTTGAAGGAAATTATACTTTATGTTGAACCAGTTAAACAAAATTATATTAAAGTGTATCAAACAGACAGACGATGGCTAACAATTGTGAGAAATAAATAACCATATTCAGTTATCAAATGCATGTACGGCGTTTTGGTGATTAAGCAAGAATATTATTATGGTTGCCTCCATAATCAATATGTTTAGAATGGTTCAAATTAGCTTTGTTCAAAATTTCATGCTTTAAACACAAAGTGCACAAATGGTATTTTTTCAGCTTTTGGGCATTATTTCTACTATACTGGAATTAGTTCGAGAATACCGACTCATAGATGCATTACATGAAACAATAGGGAACCAGCTATTTGAAACTGTTCATCGTGAAACACGTCACTCTAAACAACGTAAAAATCTGAGTGATTTGGAAATGCGTAAGAACAGACTGGATTTTGCAATGCGTCGTATGACAAATCAATCTGACAGACTTAATCTTGTGACAGAAGACGACGATGTTCTAGATGTTGAAAGCGTTGCAGATGATGAAATGTAATCATAACGATATTGTTTGAGATTTTAATTTATTGATATTTGCTCTGTTTTAATAGTCTGACATTGTTTGAAAAATTGTAGCAGGAGTTATTTTTATCGAATCAAATTGTACTTCAATAAAGATTTAACTGGATGCATATTTTCTTATTTCTTTTCGTTTTGAAAGAATAATGTCTTTTATTACAGAACTAACATAAAACTATTCAGTTTATTGAATGAAATATTTAACTCTTCAATATTTAAATATGTAACAAAGATATGAAAAACAGTGATATAATATAAATACCGAACTCATAAGGCAATCCAAAACGGAAAGTTTTTTTATAGAATGGCAAAATCAATAGCTCAAACACATTAAACGAATTGAAAACAACTGTCATATTGCTGAATTGGTACATGCATTTTCGTATGTCGAAAATGGTGGATTAAACCTGGTTTTATAGCTAACTAAATCTCTCACTGGTATGACAGTCACATAAAATTCCATTATATTGACAACAATGTGTGAGCAAAACAAACAGATATACTAGGTAAAACTAGCATTGCTGTTCTTAAACCGTCAAAATCGTAATAGCTATATTTCGACGGACAACTTTATTTAGGTTTATTTATATATTTCGCACTTTAATGTTGCGTCCATTTTGCTGAACCTGTTTTCCATATTTTAGGAAGCCCGCCTCCATGTGTGCGATTTTCTCGCTACATTGAGGTGCCATTGGTAGCCTTGTGCTTTTTTTGTTTTTTAGGCTCCTTGGTCGGATTGCTTGTTCATTGACATATTCCCCGTTTCCATTCTAAATTCTATTATGTTTATGACTTTTACAACAATTAAAGAATAACTAAATCGAGAATTCAAATGATGAAAAAATTTAACTAACTACAATTTAAGTTTACTAGCACATTGGTGAACTATGCACCATCTGAACAACAAATTTCACCGACTACAACTTAGTTTACCTAGCACATTGTTGAAATAAGCACCAACTGAACAACAAATTAAACCAACTACAACTAAACTTACCTAATAGAAAAACAAAGGATAGCACATTTGTGAACCAACTAAACAACACATTTAACCTAAGTTCACAATGAATAAGTATTGTTTGATTGGGTGATACTGTCGATAATTTAAAGGCATATCAATTTTAAATTTAATCACCACAATACAGTCATTTTCTCCAACACAAACGTAATGTATAGCATTGCGTGAAAAAAACGATCATGGAAACTTGTATATCAACATATCTGACACCTTTGAAAACTGATATGCGGTTTGTCACACGCCAATCAAACCTGCAACTCATTTCACAAAAAATCTTTCCGGAAAAAATTGTCTTAAATTACAAATATTTAAAACAGTTATTGATAGGGACTGTTGATATTGATTAGTGGCTTCTTGTGGCACCTCTCCCTTTTTGTAGACCTTTCATTTCCTGTATAGGTAGTAAGCCAAACCAATGAAATACAACTTGGGATCATCATAAAATAAAAGGAAATAATGAGCTTTCCCTGTTTGTTAAAAAGTCAGTTTTGAAAAAAAAAAGATAATTGATCCGATACAAGTAAATTATGAGTTTTTTCTATGCATATAAAAACTCCAGTTTAAATATGTATTGCATACATGTACATAGTGACTATTTCATGTGCATTCCAACATACTTCTGATAAAGAATTTTACTCAAAAATATATTGTGATTTTTTTTCCTGTGACTTTTGTTCCTAGGGATTTTGTGACTTTTTTTCCAGTGGCTTTTTTTCCTGTGACTTTTTTTCCGTTTACCAGACAGACAGAAGAAGAAGTATACTTAACAAAAACATTATTGTATGTGTATAATTTCGTTATTGCAAATGGCGTAATTTGTTTTCAAGTTGATGTTTTTCTGAAATTGTTTAGCATTTCAGAGCGGTATAATACTTTTACTTTAATTAGTCATCCCTTATTTTTATTAACTTTGTATTTACATTTTATCATATATCAAATGTATTCGTTCAATGTATGTTCATTTGTGTTACTACGTCTTTTGATTGAGTTAAGCCATTCCAATTGATATTTTATAGTGTGTCTTTCTATGTTGTGATGTTACACTATTGTTTCAGATAAGGGTGAATGTTTGGTACCATTAAAACGTTTAAACCCGCTGCAATTGATTGCACCTGTCCTTAGTCAGGAATCTGATGTTCAGTTGATTTCGTTTGTTGATTTGGTTCATAAGTGTTTCTCGTTTCTCGTTTTTTATATAGATTAGACCGTTTATTTTCCCGTTTGAATGGTTTTACACTTGTAATGTTTTCGGGCCCTTCGTAGCTTGCTGTTCGGTACCGTATCTTGACCTATAATGGTTTTCTTTCATTAATTCTGACTTGGATGGCGAATTGTCTGATTAACACTCATATCACATCTTCCTATATCTATTTGTTCCATGGATGATTGTTTTTCGTTGTACATGTACATTACAATTGTGTGCTTGCTTCGAGCCAGCTTTTTTTTTATTTTCAACATACTGTGAATTCATTATTATTCGTGGGATACCAATTTTCGTGGGTTTCTTGGGTACAGGTAAACCACAAATTCAAATGATCAACGAATGACAAATTTTATAGAGGCTCGTATAGGGACTTTAACAAAACCACGAAATCAAATATCTACGAAAATTCAGGTTTTCCTCATTCCACGAAAATTGGTACCCACGAAAATAAATGAATCCACAGTATTCATAACTAATCTTAATATGTTCATGCAGTTTAAATTACGTTTTATTGTGACTATACAGATATTTCAAACATTTATATCTAGATCAACAAGTGAGTTTTATTCCACATTATACATACGCGCATTTAAACCCGCACACACAAGAAAATTATATCCCACAGCATTGTAATTGTTACAAGAGGATGCAAATTCTTCAAATCTACATTGTTTACGGTATATAATTCAGATAATGCATATTGTAAGAATTTTGTTGTCGCATAAACACCTTTAGGATGTCAGGATTGCATTAAGGAAGACCGCCCGTAAGTTATACGACAACAAAATCCTTGAATTATATATATTAATGAGACCAAATGAAACATATTTTTTTATGCAAAAAATGATCAGCTGATCAAGCTATTGTTTTTTTCATGAAATGTTCAATATCAGCTCAGAGCGAATCATACACTATATTCAGCGTTCAATAAACATTGTAACTTTTCTTCAACTTTCACCAAATGTTGTCAACACACCAGTACTAAACAAGTTCATCAAAGATTATGGAAGTTGTTTTTCACGTTTGATTGTGTCCATTTTTAGTGACTTCCTCGTTTAAAATTCTTTTTTCTACTTTTTTTCAAACACAACTTATATCGGCAATAATAATATCTGCTAAACTAAAAAAAAAACAGACGGCTAATCTCTGAAATCCAAATCAATCATTACGTTGTATGTCTCACAATATGTGTTTTCATATGTTATCTTCTAGGGGACATGGTATGTGTTCTTTAAACACAAAACAACGTCTGCTTAACTGTCATCTACAGATAAACAGAAAGATGTGATATATTTGTACTGAATTTTTTATCTACTACATGACCTACAAAAGTTCAAACCTAAACCAATTGATTCTACTCTACACATAAAACATGTATTAAAGAACAATGTTATCTTTCACTAGGTAGCGAAAAATGCCTAATTACATATATTGATTGTGAGTCCTATCAGAAAATCAATTTGAATATTAAAAAACTACAAAATTCAAAATGGCTAAAGTGAAAAGAGGTCGTATCACTATATCAGCTAATATTATTTTGACAGCTTTAGTTATTACCAGGGTAAGTTTCATAATATAGTATTTGTTGCATGACAAAATGGTTTGGTCAAACTAAAGACATACAGAACAAACCTTTGTTTTCTTATAAACAAAACTTCGAGGGATCCAGAGAAGAGGTTTAACAATTCCATTATTTCGAAACTTTATCGTGATATTAATCAAGTAAAGATCAAAATATGAAAAGTAAATCCGCCTTTTCTATTTTGATCTTTTAAAAAATATTGAGATACAAACCAACGCAACGCATTTCTAAAGTGTTACAATTTGGTATTATATGAGGAAAATTATTGTGTTTATACTTACAATTGATTTAAACATGTAAAAGATCATGTCATTGAATACTGTGCGTTATATCCATATTTCTGTGACCAGAATATACTATTAACTCCTGGTATGGTATTCCAATCGACACATATTCTTAAGTATCCTGCATCAGTTAACTGTTGTAAAGAAATGTCTCCTGTTACCTTCTTTAATGTTGAGCAATCGGTAATGTGGATATTTCTTTTTGCGTAACAGTGTATGTCGGTGTCTTTGTCGTGGTCCGCGTTTAAACTGTGTTAGTTTCTTTGAAAAGTTAGAGACAACTATTTAGATTTTAACAAAGAAAGCTTCAAGTGTTTGGTTTTAATTTGAAGACAATTAATATATATATATATATTGTCATATAATATATCATTTATTTGTACTCGGCGAGCCTCGCTTTTCGTCCTGTTTTTAAGCTCATACAAATAAATTTTATATTTTTTGACAATGTTCATAAATTGTATATTTCTTCCTTCATGTATAATTATACATGCTTACAAGCCACATAATATACATTTATAAAACGTGTATGACAACATTTTGTTCCATTATACTTCATGTTAAAAATTCTAACTTGTAATTGGTTAGTACAAGGGAGATATTTTCTCTATCAAATGGCTAATAGGGCAACATTCTTTTAAAAGTCATTCAATCGTGCAAAACAATAAACAATCGATCACTTAAAGGACAATGAATTGACGCCAATAGTTTTAAGACAATGCTCAAGTTCTACGTTTTGGCCTCAGACATTTTCCATAGACCGCTGAATTACAAAAATACTTCTTGCTTTTTGTATTACTTAAAACTGTAACAATGTAATGTACATAACGGAATAGTAAAATAAAACAAAACCATTACATACATGTATATTTAGATGATGATAGACATTTATTATGATAAATTAAAAAGCATATAGCTGAGAGGATTATAGAGCAGATTATTACCTAGAGAAAAATCGTTGACTGAGAAGAAAACACCTATGTGTTACTAATATAATACCATTTGCATTTATATAACATCAAATT